AGGCAAATCGAGGAAGCTGTACAATTTCTTTTTTTAATAATTGTGATAGATTTTTTGCCGTCTTAAATAATTACGGCGACGTTACCTTTCAAAAAGTCAGTTAACAAGAAAACTGGCCTAAGGCGCACCGAGAGCTTTAAGATTTAGAGAATATAAAAGCGGATGGGTAAGGATGTCAAAATCACTATAGAATTCCTTTCTTATTTAAATATGTAACAGAATCTTGAAACAACGTTAGCTTGAGAATAATCCTTAAGAACGACTAAAGAATTGGTGGCACATATATACACCTTGTACACTTACATATTTGATCGAAAAGGTACACGGGCCGTTTTTAATTTTAGGATTGATCGTTCTTTTATGAAGTGTTGAACCTCTGATTTGTTTTGATGGCGGTATATTTATTCGAGAATGTTTTGTTACGTTTATTGTATTATCCGTATTTGTTCTGTTTATTGTATTATCGCACGTCCCCCCCGCCCCCCCCCCCCCCCCCCCCCCCCCGTCCCAAATGGGGAGCTGCTGACATCATGAATGTATATGCATTCCTGCTGGTTGTCTGGCCCTACACGATCTGGTTTCGTAGGCTAACACTATTTGTATCTATTACTTCATGGGAGTGAACTCAATTCTTTGACTGAGGCAAGTTACGGAGGAGGCGGGCTTTCGGTTGCACGTCAAAAGATCTCCAGGTGGTCAAAATTAATCCTCGGTCCTCCGCTGGGGCGTGCCGGGATGCCCGTCGTTGGTTCGGCACGTAAAACCCACAAATTTGGCTTTTTGCAAGACTCAATGCTAGCCTATTTTATTTAACAAAACAAAATGGCTGCTAAGGGTCTTTACAAGGAACCATAATGTGCTGGTCGCTGAGCAAAGTACCTGGCAGTCAAAAAGAAAAATCAGCTCCATCAACCATCTCCATGTTACGATCTTTATGTTCGTGACCCGATCTTTGTATTTCGGTATTCATGTGCGGTCCATCCGTATTTTTGGAGGTTAGGGTTCACTGTGTAGCATGGCCGAGGAGGTGTTTTGAATCTGTGAAGGAAGTAAGGACGTGTACATATAAGGCGAGTTTTGTTGAATAAACATTTAAAGCTAAATTTGTAACTTCTTTGTTCTTTTCATTTTTTTCTAATAATTCATCTGTCTCAGATTTACTATGGAAATAACATGCATTTGATAATCCACGGGGGGGTCTCTGCTGCTGGAAACTAGAAGGAGTGCTGAGAACTAAAACATACTCTGAGGTATGTATGCGGTTATGGGAATGAATCAAATAGTTTTAAAGGGATTCTACAACGAAATTTCGGCGCTCATTTTTTTGTTTATATGTGTTCAAAGGAGCAGTATCACATCGAACATACCAATATCTGGTTAAAAAGGTCTCGAAAAGGAACTTTAAAACGAATTAAACGATTAGCAAAGAGCACCTGGTGGATGTCGCTAACGCCTCGCTTGTAATGCTCGTCTGGGAACCTTGACAGCTAGTGACGGAGGTTGTCTCGCCTCCGGTCACGACGAGAGAAGAGGGGAAGGAGGAACTCCTTTCTTCCCGAGAATTCCTTTTATGTGTCCCAGACGTCGCTATTGTCCCTCTACAGGATTATAAAAGATTAACCCGTCACTCAAAATTCTTACAAAAGCGACTGTTTCAGGTTGCACGATAAAACACAGAGAAAGGGATGTAGAATGTTCGTCGGGTGTCGTTTACAAGATACCCTTTGATTGTGGCCTCTGTTATATTGGCCAGACTAAACGCTGTATAAATGAGCGCTTGATGGAACACAAATGTTGTATAATGAAAAAAGACCCGTACTCCGAAGTGTCAAAACATGTGATCGAATGTAGGAACTGGGCACCGTTGTGGCATTTAACTTCAGTAGTGTTGCGGGAAAAAGATTTTTTTTATTTATTTTATTTATTCATTCTGCCAGCCGTGAGGCCAAGGCAGGAGTGGTACATATTTTCAAAAACATACCAAGGACACACAAAGAATTCAATAATTCAGTCACATCCCTTGGTGACATGGGAAGAAAGAAACATTTCAATTTCCTTCACAAAAGTTGACACACTTTGAGAGTTGACTATACATTCAGGCAGCTTATTCCAGAAATCAATACATCGAACAAAAAAGGAGTACTTAAAATGATCCGTAGAGTATTGATAGGATTGGATATTTAAGCTATGTTTTATTCTGTGGTACACCGGAGGAGACATCACGACGTATTTTTGGGTATCCAACATCGAATGACCATGAAATATCTGAAAAAAAAGTTTCATTCTATTCGTTTCTAATCTGGTCTTTATGCTAGGCAGGCCTGCTTGCTCCTTGAGTTTTGTGACCGACTCAGTCGACCGGTAGCAATTAAAGATAAATCTAGCAGCCTTATTTTGAATTCTTTCCAATTTATAAATATTTTGATTTGTGAATGGCTCCCAAACCGGACTAGCGTATTCCAGAGTTGGCAAAATTAGACACTTAAAGGCGATTAATTTGACATCGGAACTAGCGAACTCTAACTTTGTTTTAAGCATCCATAGTTTTTGAAAGGCTTTCTTACATACATAGTCAATATGGGAGTTCCAGCTTAAGTCACTTCTTAAGTGCACTCCAAGGTATTTATATTCGTTAACTTTAACAAGCGGAAGACCATTAATACTGTAGTTAAACTGTAAGTGTTGTTTTTTGCGCGTTACATTCATGTAGACCGTCTTACTTATATTCAGTTCCATCTGCCAGTCAGCACACCATTTCATTATCTTACGCAAGTGCTTGTCCAAATTTAGTTGGTCTTCATTGGAACTGATATTGGAGTAAATCACAGTGTCATCCGCAAAGTGCTTTAAAGTTACCGCGGAGTCAAAGTCCTTTCCCATGTCGCTGATAAATAATATAAAAAGAAGCGGTCCAAGTACCGAACCCTGCGGGACGCCGGATATTACTTGTAATGATTCTGTTCTCTCCTTTTTAAAATACACATACTGTTCCCGTCCTGATAAATATGAGTTCAACCAATCGACTATCTGATCATTCTTAAGAACGTGACTAAGCTTGTACAACAATTTCGGGTGCGATACGCGGTCAAAAGCTTTAGCGAAATCTAAAAATATAATATCTGTCTGCCCCCCTTTATCTGCGGTTATGCTCAAATCATGAAAAATTTCGATTAGCTGCGTAGTTGTAGAACACCCCCGTCTGAATCCATACTGATTAGAGCCCAGAAGTTTGTTACTCTCAATAAAAGTGATCAAATGTTTCGATAAGATATGTTCTAAAGTTTTACAGCACGTGCTCGTTAGGGAAATCGGTCGATAATTACTCAAGATAGTTTTATCACCCTTCTTATGGACCGGAATTATCTTGCCACATTTCCAATCTCGGGGAATTGTTCCTTTGTCAAGTGTTAGTTTAAAAATTATTACCAGGTAATGGGAGCACCATTCTGCATATCTTTTTAGAAATATATTAGGTATTTCGTCAGGCCCGGACGATTTTTTAGCATCAAGGTTTAATAACAAATTGAACAGACCTTGCTGGTTCACTGTCACGTCAGTTATAGCAGGAATGCCACAAGGCACGTAGAAATTGGGAAGGATGCCATCGTCTCTTGTGAAAACTGACTGAAAGTAATGGTTGAATGATGAAGCAACTTGCCACTTGTCTGTTATAATAGAACCGTTCTTGACAATACCTGGAACAGTTTCCTTAACCGGAGATAAATGTCGCCAAAACTTTTCTGGGGAATTTTTTAGAAAGTTTGTGAGTGAATTTTCCATATAAAAACACTTAGCATTGCGAACCTCCGATTTAAAAGTATCCGAAAGGCCCTGTACTTCCTCTCGCTTTTGAGGTGTCTCGCATTTTTTTAGATTCCGCCTTTTTCTTTTTAGCCTACGCTTCATGCGAATAATATTTTTTGTTATCCACGGGTTTTGCTTGGAGATTTTTTTGACTCGGAGGGGAATAAAATTGTTGATGGCAGTGTGAACCATAGTTTTAAATCTTGCCCAGATCTCGTCTACAGATGTCGCGTCTAATGCGGAGAATTGCCTAAAGCTATCATAATGTAGATTAAAAAAGTCACATATACTTTCATCATCTGCCTTAGAGAAATCCGGAAAGGAAACAGTTTCAGGCGGTACTTTTTCACGCTTTCCTAAGGGACACGTCACGAGGACCATGTCGTGGTCGGAGATACCGTCCAAAACTTCGCACGAGTATCGCGACTGCGACAATCGTTTACTTAAAAAGACCAAGTCAAGCAAAGAACTAACAGAACCTTGCGTTCTAGTACTTTGTTGGACAATTTGTGTCAAATCATGAGAAAATACTAAATTGATCAAAGCTTGCGACGTGGAAACTTCCCCATGTGTTGCACACATGTTCAACCAATCAATGTTGGGCAGATTAAAATCCCCAGCCAGAACAATTCTGCTATTTTTACTTCGGACATGTTCACATAGATAATCATTTATACTCGTAAAATAGGTTTCGTTCGTCAGAGGAGGACGGTAAACAGCTCCGATCATGATTGGACACTTATTTATTACGATCTTGCAAAACAATGATTCAATACCATCTAAATTAGGCATCACCTCACTCTCTAGCTCCTCCTTGATAACAACTGCAACACCACCTCCACGAGACTCCCGATCTTTACGAAAGCAAACATAATTCGGTGGTACAAAATCCGTATCTTCAACTTGAGTGCTCAACCACGTTTCTGTTATTATAACCGCGTCAGGTTCATGTTCCAAAAGTATGGCTTCCAACTCGGCTCTCTTGTTTAATACGCTTCGCGCGTTTAGATTAATTACGGTGAGTAAATCAGGAACACGACTGATTTTCAGGGCCCTCTCTGTGACTCAGTTCCCCTTCAAGAATATCGCTGCTCCCATATGGACGGCGAGAACCGGATGTCAAATCCCAGTAAAACAAGCTACCGTCTACGGCTATCTTGTCATAAACTAACCGGACTTTAGCGCCTCGGTTTCTTTCATCTCTTGCGGAGTCCCAAAGGCATTTTCTTAAACTTTGAACTTGCCTAGAAAAATCCTCACTTACAGAAATATTTGTGCCCTTAAGCCTATTACAGTTGCGTAAAATTTCCATTTTTTCTCGGTAGTTGTAAAAACGTACTACTGTAGGCCGTGGGCTTCGCCGCTTTTTACCAAGACGGTGAATGCGTTCGATACTTTCGGGATTTACGTTAACTCTTTGAAAAACATTAGCCTGGACGGTCTGCGTTAGTTCCAAAGCCGTTTCGTTTTCTGCTTCGTTTAATCCAAATATGATGAGGTTGTTGCGTCTGGAGCGGTTTTCGAGGTCATCTACCTTACGCACTAGTAGTTGGACAGTTTTTGTCAGGTCTCGGACCACTGCTTCCAGTTCAGTTGCCTTGTGAATTGCCGATTCCAACCTTATCATTCTAACATCTAGGCTTTTAAAATTTTCGGTATTTTCATTCACTGATTTCTGTAGAGATCGCTGATCTCGTTTTATATCGTTTAACGTTCTCGTCTGATCCTTTTGGCCATCAAGTATCATCGACACCTTTTCCTCCAGCGTGTAGGTTGGCCCAGGATTGAGCTCAACATCACCGCATAGAAGAAGAAGTTGCCTTATCACGTCTAGACACTCTGCTACCACAGAAAGCACTTTGTGGGGGCACGGCACGACAACTAGGCACAAGCAGTTGCTCCGCATGCTACTGGTCCTATTGCTTACCTGTAAACAGGCGAAGACGAGCGGGTTAGACATGCTGCCGCAAAGCGTACCGTGCCCACCACTAGCACAGTGAAGTCCGTTCCAGTCTTTTAAGACACCCAGGGGCGTGGCAGTTCTTGAAGATGATTGGTGCAGCCTTGTAACGTGGTCGAAAGACGTGTCATCGGCGATCGATGTCTCGCCGTGGCGGATGTAGCATGACGATGACGGGGCAAAAGACACTATGCCCGTGTCGGACGCGGAAAAAATGATCGGCGAAGGAATCACCGAAGGCTCGTGGCTTTTCCCCGCGCCAAAAAGCAGGACCTGTAAACAGGCGAAGACGAGCGGGTTAGACATGCTGCCGCAAAGCGTACCGTGCCCACCACCACCACCATAAGCGATTGATAAAAGAGTCGTTAACAATACTAGGTCACGGGAACGCAGTGAATAAGCCGTCGTTTGGGTTGGACAACGAACATCGGCGTTTTCTTAGGCTGTGAAAAGTTCTGACCTTTAAGGTTTATCTTTGTAGGTTTTCGGGTAAAAAAAAAAGTTAAATGTTTTTTTTTTTTTGTGTGTGTGTGTGGTTATTAATGTAGGTTTTCGGGTAGAAAAAACGTAAAGTCGTTTGGTTTTTTGTGCGTTTGTGTGTGTGTTATGGGCTTAGGCTATTCAGTGTGTTTGGCGGTCGGGTAATGAGGGGTCAAAGATAAGAGAGGTGCATGACGCAGAGTCCGTTGTCCTTGTATTTAGTCAAAGGTTACATTGGTGGAAAGTGGCATTCTTTGGGGTTCTCACTCTCTCCCCCTTTTTTTCTTTTGAAAATAAAAATTTCAGCTGTGTTAGAGACTTTTTAGTGTTGTGTCGTTTACCCGCAGTCTCGGGTTTTTTTCAACCAACCACAACCAATTACAAAAGCAGCCGCTTCGGTGGCTGGAACGACTAGGCCATCCTCTCGACGTCACCCTCGCGGTAGCTTTGCTCGTCCCGAGACGACCTACGTCACGATTGCGTCGGATGTCACGTGCTCTAAGCTGGGCCTTCTCCGAGCGCTTGCCAGAATGGGCCGTTTATAACAAAAAATACAGCCACCAGGCTCAAAATAAAAGCGTGCGATTGTCATTTACGGATATTGTGGATCATATTGAACCTAGTTTTGAACACGACCGATATATTTCAAATATCGTTGAAGAATCCCGTTAACACCCAAAGGGAATAATTTGTCGTAGATGCATTATTTCCATTTTCGTTAGAAAATGGTGAAAAATTAGCACTAGTATTCAGTACTTGTTTTCAGTAGCACCAAAACCCTTTTGCATCAAAGCAGGCAATCCCAAACAAGCATTGGCTAGATGGCGCAAGCTACCGCACAATACCTAAAAAAGATTGTCAATGCCATTTATTATGATCTAGCCAATCAATTTATTTTAGTTTTTAAAACTAAAAATACACAATTTTTTCAGTTTAAATATACATTGCGATGGCATTAAGTAAATATTTATAGCACTGAAGGTTCATATTCTTTGGTGGCTGCGGGCTGCGTTGGATGCGTCTAGAGGAGAATCCCTCGCAGTCTAGCAACGCTTTTTTCTTTCACGCAGTCAAAATGGCGGAGTGGGACCTCACTTACACCGTTGGCCAATATATTGACCGGCATATGGTGTTTCCATTGCTGGAATTCCTCCAGAACAAAAACGTGAGTTCCTTTTAAACTCCCGAAAACTCCCAAAATACGTACAATTTCACAACTGGCGCCTTAACCTCGCTTATATGCTTCGAACTGTCATCGCGCCCTACCTCTCGCCCCCACGCATGGCGTGCTTCCAAATGATCGTTGTTACATTTAAGCATTTCATTGTGTCACGCCAAAGCTGTTTACAGTATGTCAGACGTAGATATATTTCCTGATGCTTACCTACACACGTAGCGTTTCATCCAGTAAGATCGTGCGCTCAACGTGCCTCGCCTAGAGACTGGAATGTCGGTTTTCACTTTTCCTGCTTTTGAAAGATGTCCCGAGCGTTGTAATTTCGTTTCTGTTTTCTTCTTTCCCCCACTCTTAGATATACGATGAAGACGACTTGATCAAGGCCAAGTTGGGCCTTTTAGGCAACACGAAGATGGTTGACTTCAATATCGAAGTGTTCCAAATGTGCTATCCCAACGTACCAGTTCCTCAAGGTAAGTTGGCAGCTGTTGCTCTCGTAGTAGATCGAACTTGGCTGTGTCCCTCTATTTGGGTCTGTAGTGGTTCCCTTTGATTAAGGAGTGTTATCCCAGGTGCCGATACCTCGTTAACTGCCTAAAAAAAAAAAAAAAAGCTAAAGTAATTTGCCGTTTTGGTGGAACTTTTTTGTGTGCACATTCGTTGCTCAGCTTCGTGTTTTTTCAGTTACGTGCTGGTTATTTTTGGGCGTGGTTACGAGTAAATAGTCGCCCGATACAGCGCCAGTACCAAGTATCCACTGTCTGCAGCTCTCAGAATGAGTAAATATTTTGATATGCAACCTCAAATAAGCAACCATATCATGGGCCCTCCAAGCTAAATACAATGCTTGTATATGATGTCATTCTATAGTTTTAGTAGTTATATATGTATTGCGTGCTTTGAAGTACCAGTTTTATGGTGCAAAGTGACCACGGTAAATGCAATGGAAATTACCTCAGTGCAAGTTTTCTATACATAGCTTGCATGTGATGTCATTCGCAGCCATGCCGGCATTTTATGCGCCGCGAGCGTTCGGTTCGCCGTGTTAGCTGCACGCCGCAGAAGTTGTCGTTCGAAGGAACCAGTAAATAGAGATAACTCGGTACCCAGCCATGGCGACACTTGTGAGCTATGTACACCTGACGTTTTGTATGCTGCGAAATGTTACATCTGTCTAGTAACCTATCCATACTCAGCGTTTTATATGTTGCGAGACATTAGATATCTGATGAGTAACTGCTGGTAATGCGTCAGTGGCATCGAAACAAGAAAGAGGGAAAGTAATTGCACCTCCTTCGCCTCCCCCCCCCCCATCTTCCGAATAGTTCCGACGCCTCTGCGACGCATTACTCATGAACTAATTATACTACATTACGACCATCTCTATTAACTTTTAAAAGATTTTCAAAGGTATTGCATTGCATCTCGCTTGGTTACACTAATTGTGTTGCTTCCACGCTTGCATGCAGACGGCACTATATAACAGACATACTTTTTTTTTTTTTCTTTTTCTGGCGTACAGAGATGACGGAGAGACGTGCTGAGGTGGTCCACGACTTCATGACCCAGAAGGTGGAGACGCTGCCGCTCATCGAAGCGTGCCAGGACGAAAAAATATTCTCACTCATCCAAGCTAGCAGGTTAGTCGGTCTGATACACTTGCCCCTTCTGGTCCGCCGCGTTGTTGGTGCTGTCTAGCGGATGCCTGGAGTCGACGTGACTAGCGGCTGACGGGACGAAAACAGCAGGCGGGTCAAAGCGCCGGCCTACGGGTCCCCAGGTGGCGGGTTCAAATCCTGATTGTGGTGCCCGCAACATGACGGAGGCTGATTGCAGAGAAGGCGCTGTGTAACAGCTTTCGGTTGCATGTCAAAAGAACCCCAGGTGGTCGAAATTATTCCTCAGTCCTCCGCTGGGGCGTGCCACATGCCCGTCCTCGGTTCGGCATGTAAAACCCCCAAATTTGACAGCGGGCGGGTCTTTCAATTGTCCCATCTTTGGTGCAACCTTCCTGCTTTCGATTGTGCTCCGGTGTCTTGTGTGTCTCGAGCTTGCGCGGGCAGTGGAAGTATGGTGGATGGCGGCGAGCGCGGGATGGAGGCCGGGCACCCGAAAGCGATTCCCCGACATTCTCCTCCTGTAGGTGATTATAGTGTATGGCACAGAGGCAAGAAGTTAGGTGTTGACTGCTTTAAATGTCTCAAAGAAAAGCTGAAGAGGTATTCGAAAGAAAAAGAGAACGAGTTAGAGGTGTGTTCTAGCATATTTCGGTCCTGTGAATTTGAACGTCGTGAGCATTTGACCCGAACGTATCAATACACAGAAGGAAAACAGAAAATTAAGGCACCGGCTGGGACGTCATACCCAGAAGTTTCGACTGCCTCGCGCATGCCGTTCGGAAGGGGATGCTTGCGGCAGCTTCAACCGCTCGGGTGAGGCTTGTGGAAGGTGCGGAAATGTTGAGAAAGTACATTGCAAATCCCTCCTTCCATCGAACTCGCTGGAAATTAGGGGCTTTGGCGCTACTTTGAAAGTGCTGTCATGGCTACTTGACTCATCGATCTGATCCCGGAGGCCAATTTGTGATCCTGAAGGCCAAATGAAGACGATTTTAAGTGTTTTTTTTTTTTTCAGATACAGAACAGCTTCGGTTTCCCTTTGATAGTTGTTCAGATATCTGCGTCCGTCCAAGTGTGATCGTGTTCGTTATGATACCTCGCATTGCTTTGCAACGCGCTGCACAGATCTTGGTTGTCATAGCAACCATCTCATCATAAGCGGGTGTCAGCCTTTTCCATGGGGTTCTTAAATGTTTTTATAGTATAAAATCTTTAGTCGTTTTGAGATTAAGAGTGTTTGAATTGGGTAGGATGAAAATGGGCTTAAGCTTGTAAATCCTTTTACTTTGGATCTTAGAGCTGCAGATGATAAAGATTTTAATTCTTTGGAAGGCTATCAAGGGAACTCCTTGGTTGCAAAGGACCCTGAAGGAGGCAGGTCTTACCACACAAGCATCTCAAGCTTTCTGGAGCATTCGCTAGATGGCGTGAATACACGAAGTGCTACACTTTCCTGGTTCATGTTCACATTGGTCAAGCTCGTGTTGCCAGGGGCTGTACTTCCGTGCATGAACATACAAGAGGCAGCTCAGGTGTTCGTCACAATCAGGAATTGCAAGTTCAGACCCCAAACTTCGATTTCTTTTGTGAATCGAGATATCATACAGCTTCTATACAGTACAAGCGGATCGCACCAAGTGTGAAGTTCAACTGCCCATGTCTGCGCCAGTTATGCGCAGACATAACTTTTGATGGCAACCTTTTCAGTTAAAGGAAGGAGACAGTGAGCTACTTAGTCAAGCAGCGCTCTTGATGTGCACCGTTCGCTAAAATGCAGACTGTGTTGCACGGGAAACTAATCCAATTTTTGCACTGCCCTTTAAATACAACCTTGCTTGCCGAAGGCTGTCTTTTGCCACCTGCATATTAAAAATCGCCAGCAAACAAGAGCTTGCATCCACAAACGAGTGCATCAGCCACATTCTTCAAACGATTCTTCCTTTTGCAGGGACAGCCGGCAGACCTTAGATCTTCTGATGAAGAATTTCAGTGGGGTGAGTAACCACTTTCAGTTCATTGTTCTGGTCCGTGTCACAGGATGTTGCGTGATGCTTCGTGCCTGCTGCCATACAATGAGGGCCGCATGTCCCGACCTTTGTCTCCCATTCTGAAGTGCTACGATAGCCAGCCGCAGCAGCTAGACGCATCTTTGACGCGAAACAACATCTTCCAGCAATTAACTGCTGTGGTTAGGTAGCTTGGTCTGGTTCACGTTGTTCGCCGAAGGGGGTAGCGGTTAAGGGGAGTTATGCTGTAGGCCGCCGATACCATAGAGAAGCAGCACTCTTCATTCGTTCAGCTTACAACATAAGTAGCATCTCGGCGCTCGACAGTGGCCGCAGTCTTTCTGGAACGCCCGACGTCAGTTTCGGGTGATCAGATAACGCGCAATACTTAGTGTTGCCACTGCCTTTATAGCTATAGTGGGGGAAAAGGGCGAATTTTTTCTTTTTCTCGGCACGTTCGTGGCATCTCAGTGTTTCTGCCTGATTGCACTCTAGATTCGCCTCGAGATGGTGGACAGCCTGTACAAGTATGCCAAGCTCCAGTACGAGTCCGGGAACTACTCTGGTGCTGGTGAATGCCTCTACCTGCACCGCTTCCTGGTGAGCGGACAAGGGCTGGTGGCCTGTTGTCGGCCAATCTCTACGGATCGGACCGGAAGGCGCAGCTCCATCGATGTGGGACTGTGCTCAATCCCTGCATTTAATTTCTCGTCGGACGGCGCGTCTAAATGGAGCCGAGGATGGAACGCTGCATTTAACCCTCGATTTGCTCGCGATGTTGCATAACATTACGTTTTGTGACGTCACTGTTGTGTGACTCTGCAACTTATGCTCCAGCGGAAAAAATTTCTTTTATTATTTCCAATAACTGAATGAAACTTTCGCAGTTTATAGTGGTTAATCTCTTTTTTTTTTTATAAATCTTGTTAATTTTGCTATAGCTCATTTTGTTCCTTTTACACCACTGAGTGCAGTAAATAACAAAAATATTGTGTATGAGAGATATTTTATCTTAAATTAATCGAAAATCGCAAAAACATAATTTTCAAGACGCTAACAAAAGTTTCCTAAATCTTTCGTAAATATAGAAAATATACATTCTAACTAAACTTTGATAGTTGCATTCTAAATATACTATAGCATAACGTATTTACTCGCACAATGAACACACTTTTTGTTCCCGAAAATTGACACACATGTGGGGGTAAAATTTTTGCATTCACACACTTTGCGCAAATGTCATTTTAGGTGCCAGTATGGCATGTATGGCAAGGTACTGTGACACGCCTCCACTGACAGAGGCGCACCCATGGCTGGTTGCGGGTTCACCACAGTAACCATGCTCTATGAATTGCAAACCTCTTTAGGGTGCTTTTAGCGTGCCTTCTGCCAAAGAAAAAGCGCCCCACCAAGCCTACTCAGCACGGAGAGCGACGCAACCGTTCGTAACCCTAACCACTTTCACAATATCACTGTCCGAAAGCAGATCACAGACAATGCTGCGTTTGTTGACATCAGTGCATCCGGTGGACAAAACACGTCTGGGGCTGGGCAGTTCCTTGACCCCAGCTTTGCTAGGTGGTGAGCCGCTCGGTTTCACGGTTGATCACTTCCGCAACCATGCAATTGCAGCCATTACGGGAGTGGCTTGATTTGACTTGGCCTGGCTGCTTGGCGGCAAAGATAAATTAGCCTCAAGACTTGCGGAGCCGAAAATTAAAAATGTGTTCATTATGCAAGAAGAAAAAATGTCAAAATATGAATGCCCGTTGTGGGGGGTCCGTTCATTATGCGAGTAAATACAGTATGTATGTCAAATATGCTTATGATAGGACAATATTAACTCTTTCCTGACAATGGAAAAAGAAGAAATTTTCAAAGGATCTGTGCAGCCGCTTTTTATTTCTCAACTAATTTGCGTATGGAGCAATATGACACATCAAAATGTCGCCAATTAGTGTTTATTTCGAAAGAAACTGAAGTTGGTATGATCTGGGAAAAAGATTCTAAAATTTTATTTTTTGAAAATACAATGATGTGCGGAAGACGTATAAGCGTGGACACTTCTACAGCTATTCAAATTAAACAGCAGATGAAAGAAAAATTCAGAATATTCAAAATCTGCCCCACAGTCGCTGCTACTACTTCTGAAGTTTAGTGTATGTCTATTTTTGGTTCGTTGAAGGGTTAGCCTCCGTAACATGTGCGCTTTTCAACGAAGGAATGCTTATATTGGTGAAACACAGGTAGAACACCTCACATCCCTACCAGAATGCTTCCTTTGTGTTCTACCTTCGTTTTGTCATAGCCTTGATTGCAGTTCCTTCATATTCAGCATTTTTGTTCGCCTTGTTAGAAACATAAAACATGCACGCCTAATCAGGACAGCATTGGAAATTATAGTGATGTATACCGACAACCATCTGTTAAGTGATATCTGTAACATAATTTAAAGTGTCTCCAGAGTTCTTGAGTAAAAATTATGCCATTAATACAGTTGAATTATGTAAATAATGACATCTTTGATACAAAGACTGGTGCATGTAGTTAGCCATGTTAGACAAGCGCAACCACCGTTTCCAAGGCTATTTTTGACAGCCCACCAGCTTGTGATAAAGCTCAAATCTACGTTGAAATTGAAACTACAGTTCTTCGGCCATCCACGACAATGCGGAACATTTCTCTGCACTAAATTTTATTTCTTGAAGGTACTTGGAAACCATCGATCACCGGTGATCGATGACCTATGGGTGCGGTTAGGAAAGAGTTAAAAACAAAAATTCTTGTACACAAGCGGTGAAGATGCCCCAAAATTACAAAGAGATATAGTATGCCTTCGAATGTTGTCATAAGTACGTAGCTATACCCTTTTGTGGAGAGAAAAATAATTTATTGTGAATAATTTTCTGTGAGAAATTAGGCTTCAAAAGGCTGCGATGGAAAGGTGGCAGCTGGGCTTACTTCTGAACATAAATGTGATGGCGGGCAACGTCACAATTTGAAGAATCGCGCACACATAAATGGTTTAAATTTATGCCGTTCTGAGTTGCCAGAAGTTCTTCAAATGAGTACTTTACTAATTTCACGATCATAGCTGGTCCTTAATATTTTCATACATAAAATATGAAGATTCAAGGATGATAAGACATAAAACCCAAAATCACAATTTTAAAAATATTGCCCTTATTCGACTCGCATCTCCCCTTAACGTCGTAACGAAAGGTTGCTGCCATTTTTTTTTTTTTTACTGAACCGAAAAGGTTGTGGGTTGGTGGAATTCTTATACGTCTATGCTTGGCATGCCCTGCCTGCAGATTTCCCCGCAGGACCCCAATTACCTGAACAACCTGTGGGGCAAGCTGGGCTCGGAGATCCTCATGCAGAACTGGGAGCTGGCCCTGGACGAGCTCACCCGTCTAAGGGAGTACATCGACCAGCACGTGAGCCCCGTGGCTGGTTCCTACTTCCCAGAAAGACAGCTGCCGTCATAACGTCCTCAATTCGGGCCCCTTGACCCCTTGCCTACTAACAATGAACGTCGCTTGTGTCACCTTTTACGGACCATAAAGCCCGACCACGAGCGTGACTTTTAGTTCAACTTCAGCGCTTGTTTAGCGCACTTCAGCAGACGACAGAACCACCCCTGTTGCTCCACTTACCTTGGCTCTTCAGAGACTTCCGGTCTCTCCGTTTGGGTAGGCTTTCCGAGCCCTTCAATTTCAAGATTCATGTGACGACGAAGTTTTAGAGAAATCACCAAGTTGGGGGGATCTAGCAAGGTCTTTATGTTGTGCCATTCAATATATAACGTGGGACTGGTCGTCTCACAGGAGCATTAGAAGCTCTGCAACAAATACGTTGCTAACCGGTCCTTTAGCTGCAAGCAATCAGCTGGCGAGCTGGTCACGAAATATTTAGCGAGTGTTAAAAGAAGCGGCGTTACGGTAGGGATCGTTTTGTCCTCTCATTTGACCAGAAGTTTGCAGGGACTCGTAATGCAATGGCACCTCCTTTCAGCGCATTCAAAAAGAGGGTCTGTGCGGCCGCCGCCGCGAAGTCGTTGCGTGAGAAAGGCGAAGATCCGAGAGCCGTGCTTCTTCTCCCTTCGCAGAACTTCCCGTCGGCGCTGCAGTCCCTGCAGCAACGCACTTGGCTGATCCACTGGAGCCTCTTTGTGTTCTTCAACCACACGAAGGGCCGAGACCTCATCATCGACCTGTTCCTCATGCAGCCGCAGTGAGTGAACCGACCTCTGCTTCGCGTAAGGTCGTCGAAGTTGTAAAAAATGTCGGGCAACCACCGGCCATCCGGGCAAAACGTCCTTCCGACTGTGGCGGCACTGAAAACCGCAATCAAGATGGAGTGACAACTTACGGTGCGTCCCCCAGGAATTTAAGGGGTTTTCTCTCGCCGCAAAAGTACACGACACCTCGCCGAACGCTCGGCATCTGCCCAAATCTAGCACTAGCGGTCTGAACTAGACGCCCAAGTTTCCGACCTAACCGTAGAAGTGAATTTCTTAAAATTTCAATGACAAAATGGTGCCCGTTCTTGGTAGTCGACGCCGTTCAGCTCTGCGTACGTGAGGGCTCTGTCAGCCGTCATTTCCTCATTGAAAATTTCAGAAAATCACTTGAAACATTTTGTTTTTATAAGATAATGATTAGTTCTGAAACTTTGGCATCCGGTTCTGTCCACTAGCGCTCTACGTCTGGGCGGAAAATGAGTGTTTGGAGATGCGTCGTTTATTTTTGCGGTAAATGAAACCCCATAAATATTTTTTGGGGATACCCTGTACATGGGACCCTTTCACTGAGAACAAACTACACCTGATATTTTCTATCGTACAAAAACAAACATCTGCGAGCCTACCCAGGCACAAAAACGTTGCAATCTGCCGAGCCAGGATAGGCCATGTGCACTAAACTCGCAGTCATCTTCTTATGGGGGACACCACCTTAAAATTGCAATTTTTGAGAAGAAAATAATTATTTTTATGTTTTGTGGTTCCAAAACTACTAATAGTGCACACTCGTGCAAATTTTTATTGCAATATCTGAAGTATTTACGGAGAAATAAAACATTTTCGGAAAGCCGACAATGCAAAATCGTACGTTTTGAAAATGGAAAACTTCTGTTTTCTATTTTCAAACTGCTCTAGCTCTGCACCGGCATGCCCTACAATAACGATAATACTCCCGTTGAAAAGAGCATTTATTCACAGTTTCAGTAGATTAAACATCTTTCTTTGACAGTATACACTATTTGGACAAGAACACCATAGATGTCTAGCTTTTGCGTGGAAAAGGCTACGCACATCGACAAGAATCGGAGAGCCTACCTATATTGAATAGAAGACTGAAACTGAAACCAGCATTTGTTTATTGAAAGTCATGTGGGTTTGTGTGCTTTGTTTCTTGGTGGTGCTACCCCGCCTACAATTGATGAAGCTGGTTCTTGTGTTGCAAGCATATCCAATTCCCCACTCGTTTCACTATCAATGTTCACATACCAACAACAAAATGACACTCGAAGAAAGCGTTTTAAGCTCGGACTCACTCAGCTAAGCCGTGCAGGAGATCGGGTATAAGCAGAAGGCACCACCTATGCTCTGGGTGCCTTTTAGTTGCTACCACCACCAGTAAAATCAAATGTAATGGTTTGGAAACTTCAAATTAAGTAGAATACCATGCATCTGCCCATTCCACACTAAGCGCCTATGCCCAAATTTGTAAGATTTGAGAAAATATATACAGTACATTGATATGTAAAATTGATGACTGGACAAGCGCCCATTCCTCATTTTTTAGCGATTATCTATAAATTTTGAGTGGGCGCTTGCACTGCATTTTATGGTAGGTTTTTCTCAGCTTCCTTTTTCTGCAGCAGCTTTCATTTTAGGAAATGTATAATTCCAATGATTTGCTGAATTTATTCTTTGCTGTGGATGTCCTTGAACTAAAATTTAAAGGAAAATGCGGCTAGATATATATATATATATATATATATATATATATATATATATATTTTTTTTTTTTTTTTCAATTTATGTGTTACCAAAAAGTAGTTGTGCACTTCCCCCTGTAGCTTATCGGAAAGTTGTCCTAAGGAGATGAACCGTCTTACAGTGCATTTAAACAACGAGATGAACAGACCTTACGAAGTTATTCAGTATTGAGTGACTGCTTTATAACTCAAGACTTGAAGGTGGTGTCACCCCTTAAGAACCACTGGTTAAATCGAATCCATTGCTAAAATTTTTTTTACGTCGACGGTGCTGAAAGGTTGCATCCTCTCTTTGAGTTCTTGAACGTGAGCATGCAAACCCTCTGGTACTGACGGCGGCCGATCTCTCGCCACAGGTACCTTAATGCGATCCAGACCATCTGCCCGCACATCCTGCGGTACCTGACGTGTGCGGTCATCACCAACAAGCAGAAGCGTGCTGCCATGAGGGAGCTGGTCAAGGTCATCCAGCAGGTGTGATCTTGAAACTGTGACGAACATTTCTACACTGCGTCTGCTCTCTTCGACGCCTCAGAAACGACGAAATTTCAATGATCGTAGCAGAATACCATCATTGAAGCTCGAAAGATGCTCTAAGGTTGAACCAGCGCTGTAATAAGTGCTGCATTTACCGCCGATATAGCGCTGAATTTTCCCCTCTCACCACTCGGGTTCCCTCCTCACAATTCGCGATGCACGAGATGGCTCGTTGCAGCGAGATCAGTTTCAACGGATCCTGTGTCAGCGGTATTAATGCTCTTGGCGCAGAGTCCGACGCTGTCTGTTGTTGCAGTGAGGCAACTTTGTTCCGATAGGCAGAATTTCTGATATTGGGGCAAGCTCGGCGATTCGACGGCGTTCTTTGCTCAGGCCTTTGAACATATTGACCTCCAACGGGAATAAGTCACTGGAATCGTAAGCACTGTGACACGTGACACGAAACATGAGAGGGCGCCATCGAACCAACTCACTTTTGTTGATTAGTACTGCACTATGGCGTGCTACATCAATGCTGAGGTTAATGCTGTTTTAAGCACTGGATCAGCCATGCACTTCATCCGTAAAGAGGCTTTAAATTTTGCGTAAAAAAAAATAAAACTCTACGTAACCGCGGGCAAAATTTTGCGTCACGGATTTGCCTTGTAACTAGCTCAACAGACCAATAGACACATCTCAGCCGTAGTGACCCAAATTACAATTCAAAATGAATTCTCTTTGCGAAGTTATTGAATTTTAAAATTCAGGCCAAGAGGTTCTAGTGGTATAATGCCAAGAACATGACGTCAAACATTGTACATTATATAATAGCAGTACAGCTTGTACCCGACACGTCACAAGAAGTTTGATGGTGTGAAATGAATGATGACAAAACTCACGTCATTAGAACATTAAAAACAAAACAAAAAAAACGCACAACATATGTTTTTTTAGACTGTCCGCTCGACTTTCGAGTAGTACAACGTGGGAATCGCCCCCAATGGACGACACTTGGAAACTTTGAATGTTGCTTTTGGAATAACCTTCTTTTCCTGTTTTCTCAATGTCCGTTTAGAACCCTGAGGTGACAGATAGCATGCTGGACAAAGTAACGCCTAAGTATTCCGAAAATGTGTTTCGTTTGGGTAGCTCCGAAAAACCACCAATCTATTGCCCTCGCTACCTTGTGCTCTTGCCTCAGGAAGTCGTGTTCACCTTTCTGTTCCTGGTGGTTCCGCTTCGACGCAGGAGTCTTATACGTACCACGACCCCATCACCGAGTTTGTGGAGTGCCTGTTTGTCAACTACGACTTTGACGGGGCCCAGCAGAAGCTGCGCGAATGCGAGACGGTCCTCTCCAACGACTTCTTCCTCATCGCCTGCCAGGAGGACTTCATCGAGAACGCCCGCCTGTTCATCTTCGAGACCTTCTGCCGCATCCACGAGTGCATCTCCATCAAGTATGTCGACAGTCTAGTTTGCTATTCCGTACCCCGCACATACAAGGGCCTATTTGAAAGGCCTGCGGTATGTGCCGAATGAGTAAATACTGCTACCGCGTTTATTTGTGCAACTTTGTATGCGTGCAGGCTACCACCGTCGTAGACGAAGCAGCGGCGGCGAGGCATCGACGCTTGTCGATGTTCGTAATCTGATAATTGACTGTACTCGACATCAACTATTTTCTGCTGCGTAGTCGAGGCTAGCATTGCGCTTCTGCAGTGCTCCGATTCTGCCCGAGGTATTTGCACGAGCGTGTGGCTTCGTTTTGCCGCGTCCCCGCACGAGAGCGCCTGCAAATGAAACGCTAGAGGACGCGAGATGCTCTGGTGGCATAGCGGGGCTGTGGCATTGAGGAAGCTACGCTAAGCCAAGCCTTAAAGGGGCCCTGCAAGGACTTTTTACTGGTTTTTAATTTGCGCCGAACCTGAGCGCACTGGACGTAGTAACTTAGTGAAATTTTTCTTTTCTCGAAATTCGCTTTATTTTAAAAGTTATAGGCAAATTAAAATTGCAAAAACAAGCAAAAAATAACCTCCCCCATGACGTCCTTGGTTGCTTGAGCGGCCGTGAATTAAAGGAGGGGTAGTGGGCCCACCGCGAGCGCTCACGGCTGCCGCACTCCGTGTCGACGGCGCGAGAGGACGCCACTAACTCATGTTCTGGATAGGCTGTATGCGGCGGGCAGCCAGAGCGGCTCTCATTGCATTTGCTGCGCGATTAGAGACTAATTCGGCATGATACTTCATTGGCCACAAACGACAGCAAACACGGGGTAAAGATCACTTCAGAATGGGAGCCACTTCGCGCTGCCATACCGCGAAACGGCCAAACCGCAAGGCAAAACTTCTCGCCGAAGGCCTTCGGGACGCTCGGAGCCGGTAGGATCCTCCAGTCCGTAAACGACCGCAGCGCCGCCGCGTACATCCGGGACCTTTCCGTGTCGGCAGCTGATCCCACTACTCTTTTCTAGTATGCGTCGCCTTTTTCACCGCTTGGTGGCGGGTATGTCGACGGGTCATTTCTTGTTTCTGTAGTTTATAAACTGCATTCGTTTCTTTCCGGATCTAAAATACTCAACAAAAACTACTTTTATAAGTAATTGAAACAGTTTGCGCCGCTTATATTTTGTATTTCGACTAAAAAGAAACTTTTAGCGGCTCTGACCAGTAGTAAGCCCAGGACCTAAGACGTCACATTTTGCGCGCTTTCGGTACCGCGGGTCGCCCCCATCGGTGAAGGAGGTTCCCGCCTCGTCCGGTTAAAATATGACGCACTAATATTTCGTTACTCTCTCCGTGCCCGCTGGCTTGCCCGAACCCCAAGAAGCGTGGAAACCGCAAAAAAGGTAGACGCTTAAATATGATTGCCTGAACCAGTTTTATAGTTGAGGAAAAACGCTAAAATCTTCATTTGGCTTCCAGAATTACGAATATCGAGATTTTTTTTTAATTTGGTGCATGGAGGCTGCAGAAAGGCATTTTCAAAGTATTGCTGAAGCCCCTCCTTCCCGGAGTGTGACGTCATACCCATAGTTTTCGGAATCTCTGCTCTTAATCATCTTCAGCGTTTGTCAAAGCTATGCACGCACACACACACTATATTTTTCAAAAAGGTCAGAAAAAGACGTTGCGACTGGTGTCGGTGCGGGGGAACATGCCTCGCTAGCTTGCAGTCGCACACGCTGCCCACTCGAACGACACGCGCTTGGTGGCCGAAAGATCTGAATACGAAGGAACGACTGGACAGAGGTTTTTCATGTTTCCTTGCATTTTGTTACATCTTTGGGGAAAACAAATGTGATATTTAGATTCACGGGACAAAAATACTCTAGATTTCATCTCTATCTCATTTTTTTTTTTTTTTCAAGAACCTCTTTAGCTTTTTGTAGGGGTACTAAGCCACCTTCTGCAAGAGTAGTCTATTTATGGTCAGAACTCATTCTATGGGCTCTAAGCATACTGAAAATGTTATATCCATGCGTGGCTGGTTTCTCTATTAAAATTGGTATCGAAGATTTACCTTGGAACTATCACTGACGTGAAAGAGTGCCACCGGACAAGGTCTGTGCTTAGAGCCCATAAGTTGAGTTATGATCATAGACTATCACAGAAAGTGGTTTAGTGCCCCTTTGAGGGGGGACACTGGCTAAAGATTTAACTTCTGGACTATTCAAGCGATCGGAATGAAATTTGCAGGGGAGATTTAACATGAGATGTGTAGGTGTATTGTGCAAGCTTTCAATTCTCTAGGACAATTTTACATGCCTGCATAAGAAGATGTGTCACTCTTTGTTAAGAAATGTGTGATAGGCAAATAAACCTGTCAAGCACCATTTTGACTGCTTGAATATAAAGTGGAGGATGTGGAACTTCGGGCTATCCAGTTTTATAACTCAAATGTAAATATTTCAGGAAGAGTCATTACCTCAAAATATGAGATGCAAGTATCTCCTATCTCAATTTTTGAAAACATAGCTTTTTCAGTGTAGACTTGAACTTAAAACAAAATAAAGTGGATAGCCCAATTCCCCAGTAAATTTAATTTCAGAAACATCTTGATTGTGGTATCAGAATACTGCCACCTTCAAACAAAAGATTCCTTCATATGAAATTTGCAGCGATTAGTAGAACTGAAAAAAAAAATGCATTTAAACATTCAACTCCTTTACTTTGTTACTGCCTCACAATGTGTTAAAAATATTCTATATCAATGTCACTATTTGGGGTATGGTTATCAACTTCAGTGCAAAGGTGTATAATTAGTTTTGAAAACCAAAAAACTCAAATTTGAAAAATGAATTTTTAAAAAAAACTTGAAATTTATGTTTATGCTTCCCCTTCACAACATGGCACAGGATAGCTAGCTGAAGCCGAGTATAGTAATTTTCAAGGGGCGACAGCACCTTCAAGAGTCTCTCAATATTGATGAAATTTGGAGGGTCTCTTCGTCTTCTTGCCTAATTGCACTGTATGGAGTTTCATCTGCATAGGACCATTTTCTGGTAAGCTACAGGAGGCGGTATGCAGCTATTGATGTAAGTGCCTCACTTAGCAAGGAAATCTATCATATAAAATTTCTGCAAAAGATCGAGCATTTGTAAGCTTCAGCCTCAACTAGAACATTTGAAAGGTACGGCTATCTGTTTTTCTTACCCTGAAATATGCACTTCTTCTGCAGAGTAATAATTTGAAAAGCATTCCAGATAATGGGGTATTTTCTCCTCACCAAAACCCTACTTTTTGGCAACAAGAACTTTATTTAAATAGAAAAATAAATACCTAGCCACATTGCTCCATTAAATTTCAGTTCAGAAACATCGACAGCAAGGAATAAATTCAGAAACATTTTATTTCCATAAATATTTGTGATATTGCCAGAAAGATTTGCAGGAGTGTGCACTATTAGTTGTGGAACCACAATAAATTATAATTAGAAAATCGATGTTTTTCTAAAAAATGGCAATTTTATGGTATAGTTGTGTTCAGGCACGTAGCCAGGATATTGTTTGGGGGGGGGGGGGGGGGGGGGCGCCCATGACAAAATGCTGTATGAGGGGGAGGGGGGAGAGGAGGTCCCAGCAAAATCGAAGATTGGGAGGGCCCCCCCCCCCCCCCCCCCCCCGGCTACATGCCTGATAGTGTTCCCCTTCAAATGTAGCAACTGGCCTGAAGCGGGAAATTGGTTTCATTGCCATACTCACTCACAGCTGCATCTTGCACTTTTCCCAAGACCTGAAAATTTATGAGCGGAGGATTCATGTTGTTTGTTCACAAGTCTGTACGCACTGCCGTCGTACCTCACCGAGGGGACGCAACTTATCCAACGTTTCCACGCAGCATGCTGGCAGAAAAGCTGAACATGGAGCCCAACGAAGCCGAGAAGTGGATCGTCAATTTGATTCGCAACGCTCGCCTGGACGCCAAGATCGACTCCAAACTGGTACGCTCCGAAGCACGATCGCTACTACGTGCATCCACCAAAAACTATTAATGCAGAATGCATTTTAACAGAATCGCTGTTGGGATCCGTGCTGCCATAGCCGAGCCACCCCGTCGCCAGCTAAATTCGGCGGGAAGGCACAGCGTGGGTCTTTTGGCCAATGCCACTAGAAAGTAGTAACGTTGAGACATTACGCGTTGTGAGTGTGACACCACACTGCCCAAATTTGCATATAGGTCACCGATGCATTCTGCCTATAAGACGTTTAGGTGGTGGATCAAAGGAGCTCCTTAGTTGAAATTCTTGCGGGCAAGCAATGTGTCTGTCGTACACAGCACAAGTTCAGGAGGGGGCGCTGTGTTGCGATAATAGTGGATCTGTTGGTGCGGGGGTTGTCTGTTGTCGAACCAGTGTCGGATCTTTTTTCAGGGCCACGTGGTGATGGGCACCCAGGCCGTGTCGCCCTACCAGCAGCTGATCGACAAGACCCAGGCCCTGCTGATCCGCACCCAGCTTCAGACGAGCAACATTGAGCACAAGCTCTCGGCAAGCAACCCTGACAGAGTGAGTACCTTGGGTTGCATTGCGTTTGTGCCGAATTCAGAAAAACTGTAGTTTGTCTGGCGTACCGACTCTCCTCAGTCTGGTTTTCGGGTAGTCGGAAAATGTGGACAGTAAAAGGGCAGCGTGCCGTATTCTGCTTCCTCGTCTTTCCTGCGAGATATGAAGGTTGGCTTTTGACTCTGCTGCTTTAAACTTTGAGGTTTTAGGAGTGCTGTCTCAACGTTCTTTGCTTCCCCGATGAGACAGTAAACCATATGGTAGGGGCTTACGGTGTGTGTATGTGCTACCTTACTCGTAACCAAGTACTAGTGTAATGATTTTATTTACCAAAACTAGGGAGTGTGCCATACTTTGTTCAACCCTAAGCCGACAGTGCGGTGGGCGCTGTGCACTGGCCACACCAATCGCTCGGCTATTTTCTTCACCTGACCCTGCTCTCTGCGCAGGGTGTGTGTCGTTGTATCTCAAACGTCGAAGTTGAAGGGAACATTGACAGTGAGAGTATTGAAGACAGAAAAAGACAGGCAAGAAATAGACCTACAATTGGTTTGACATGCACGTAGCTTCCACTGCACCGTCGGCTTAGAGGGGGATGGAGTATGTCAGTGGTTATGCTGGATTTCGGGGTGCCGTAGTCCTTTAAACCCCTCAATTGTTTTGGATGAGCGTAGCTCATTAATGTGGAGCTGTCCCAAACAGTTGAGGACGAGCCTAGCTGATCTATTTTCCCCGGTTCACACGCTCAACCATTTCGGACAACACAGGTTCACTCACGGTTTAGTTTGTGGCTCTGCCAACAGATGGCAACATTGACCTTTTAAACATTTTGCTCCCGTTCTGTTTGTGGCTAGAAATTTGATTTTGAAGACAACAATTCAGCAGTGGAGGGTCAGAAGTATGGCCCCTAGAAAATAAAAGTAATGCAGGCTATGCATGTTTGAAAGTTAAATTTTATGTGATGTGGACATCCTACAGGTGCAGACCATGCAAGAATTTTGTTTATTCAAGAGTGCTCATCATGAAGAGACGTGACGCATTTTGTGCATGAGGGAGTATGTTAATGATCGTTTATGTACGATACTGTCTAAGCTCGTTATAAGAGACCTTGATTTTGACCAAGATTTTGGTCCATTGCCAGAGGAGTATGTTGTATGCAGATATGAAGTTGAGTCAATGGTATGTTGAGGAAAACCAACCGAACTTCACAAATTGGTATGTTATATCCAAATGTCTGTTGTATCCAGGTCTGTTGTAATGAGCTTAGACTGTACAAGCTTCCTTGTGAGCTAAGAAAGCAGACATTTGTCAAGGTGTGTTGTGTACGAGCAGATTTTCGTGTCAACTAAGCACCAGGTACAGACTATGGATGGCATATGGACTATAGCCCGGAAAAGATGGTACTAGTGTGCGGGACTTAACACAAGCAGGATTTTACTGGGCCAACTTGGCGTATTGTCTGCATCAATTCAGTTGATACACTCCTATACTACACCTTTCAAGCACCTATCACCCAGGCGAAAGATGCCGAGCCACGGGTGTTGCATTGTCACGCGTGAGCGCAGCAAGAACGCGCGAATGCTGATAGCCGCCACGCCAAAAGCGATATCTTCGGCATCACACTTTTTCTTTCATTTGTTCTTGGCAGCTGCCGATAAAAGTCGGTCGCGCCGCTGCCAGTATTGTTCTTCGGTTTTCGTCTGTCGGCAAGCTTGCCTGGATTAAAAAGTCCGTCTGCCCTGCCCCCGGTGTTGTCTTCTCGCCGTGGCCTGGAGTCCTGCTCGGCCAAACGCAACACGGGCTCTGAATGCATGCATGGCAGTTAATATTATTTCGAAGAAGAGAGCTTCTGCACATGCTTAGGACGCATCCCACAGCCAAATAAGAGCAAAGATGGCAGCGAGGAGAAGGCGATCGTTGGGAGGGTCTATATTTCGGGCAATAGTTACTACCTTTTTATGAAGTCTAACTGACGGGATCTTTTTTTCTTTCGTAGGCGGGCCACTGGGGAGCTCAGAACTTCTAGGAGGGACCTCTTTGGTATCTGCTGACTCAATTGGACTCATTAGACTTGATTTCTTTTGCTTTCTCTGCAACAATGATTGTTTAATAAAAAAAGAACAGAAAAAAAACACGATCCATTTTTTTTAGCTACGTCATTCCTGGTACGTGTGTTTGTGGCATTGTTCTCGTTGAATTTACGAAATATGCTTAGTTGTTAAACTTTCCAGTGATGCCACAAAAAGTGTCTAACAGCATCTGAAGCTTCATGCTTTCGTTTGGTAGCAGTGTTTCTCGATGACCATAGGCGGAAAGTTTTCAGTTTCCTGGGGAGGGGGTGCTGGGGCCCAACAGAGCTCTCAAGTGATTGTACCATAATAAATGCACCAACACCTCTTCCCAAAATAAAGAAAAAAAATTGTGGTGGCTTAGCTCGGCTATGCCAGGATATACATAGCGTGAGCTTATGCGCACAAAATGAGAGGCGCTATCAAGCGGCTCCGGTGCAGCGTCAGACTTGGCCACTGCGCAACGGAGGTGCACAGCTGGGCACGCGGCGGCGCCAGTGCGTCTGTCGCGGCTATGATATCACTCCTCTGGAATGCGCAGGCCGGCAAAGCGGGCGCGCGGCGGCGGCTTGGCGTGGCTCTCATGAGCTGTGCTCATTAAGCGGAGCCCTGCCGCTGCCGCGCGCTCCACATAATGAGCACGGCTCATTATGAGGGCCGTGCGAAACTGCTTAACCTCGGCCAGTGTAGCTAACGCTACAAAAGTACTATGTTCACTATGTAAAAAATGGTCTCAGGTAGGAAACCTTGCCGAAATGTATTCACACCGCATGATGAGCGCAACAAACTCGCACAACATTTACAGGAAAATATCGGTGGTGACTTATGTTTCTCTAAAATTCTGTATAACCAATCGTTTGCAGGACCGAGTCATCTACTTGAGTCGTGTGCCACAAATCGTCGCTGTGCAAACGCAGTCTGACAACACGAAGCATTAAAACTACAGATTTAGGACAACAACTCGGAGTCCACTGCTCAATTAAAACAACGTAATTTTGTTGAAAACGCCCGCAGCTTTTTGCTCGCGGTATGCGTCGGAAATCTTGCACATTTTGAAACGGAACAAAGGAAGATTTACTTTTAAAGGGACACTGACAGGGTATTTATACTCGCTGAGGATTTTAGTTGTACATGACATTAGAGCCCAACTACCCAGAACACAATTTGCGGCTCGAAACTCGGTTTCTTTCCGCTCGAAAACCGCCGATCAAGAACTGGCCGGTTCGAGTCTTGCTCACTCTCTTTTCCGTGGTCACGGGCCGTTTTCTAAGGTTTCGACGCGACCACCAAATTTAATCAGTCTTTGGACACTGAAGGCACACACTCAATATTAAAAATAGAAAAAAAAAAATGAAAACTATTTTTTGTGGCTTCTAAAAAGCTGCAAATACGTTGATTGAAAAAAAAAAAAAAAGTTGCACAGAGAACCGGAAGCATTCTGTGCGTGCGTCGTTTCGCGTATCATGGGACTCGTGGGGACGGCCATGGCAGCGGACGACGGGCGTGGGACCTCTACTTCAGAACTGTCCTTCGCGGTATTGGCGAATTCTATCTGCCTTTAAAGAGAAATGCGGGACTGATCAAAAGAATTGGTATTCATCGCGTACGACATGTCCGACCACCAAGCCAATTTGCACGAAGACGTCGCCGAGCCGTCGCTCCCTTCTCGTGGCTGAAGTCATCGCTCACGCAAACGTCAAGCACCACACGAAGTGTGTACTTTGAGAACGAGATCACTGAAGTCACCGCAGCGGTGTCGTGAACGTTGGCTTGTGGTTGCGCACTCGTGGACCCTTTGACTCCCTTCACTTTCAAATCGCACAGGAGAAATACGAATGATACTTTCCGTTTTCCGGGAACATCACAGGGGCGCTTCTCAGGCGACGGTTTCGCTACATGTGCTCGCAAACCGCGGAGCTTCTCACATCCCGTCGAACCAAAACAATACTGGCGCCATGTTGAACGTGCGTTGCCAGATTCTCTCCGACCAAACAAAACCAACGAAAGCAAAGTGGCTCTAGCTTCCAGCGTACATCAACGGCACCTTCCCCCCATTCCCCCCCCCTCTGATCCGCGGCATGTCTTGACAAGACTCACCGGAAGTTGAGATGCTGCGTAAGTCGTTCAGCTCCGCAGCCAAGTCAACCCAAAAGCAAATGCAAGAGTGAGGGACGGGGCATACTTCTCCGCTCTGGTTGAAAGAGCGGGAGTTTCAAATGTGGAAGGGTTCCGACTCCGATTAAATTACGTCTTGTAACGTCAATATTGCCAAAAAAAGAAATTTTTTTTATGGAAGATTTGTTTTGTGACATGCTTGCCTCATTTAAGCTCTTTAAAAAAACTTTTTAATGCGAAAGCATTAGCTGGTCTCGTGGAGCGAGCTGACGTCATCAGTCTGAAGCGCAAAAACGGCAGATAGTTTCCTTCGGTTCCATTGGCTGGGGCGCGTCGACGGGGCTCCCACTGGCTGCTGCGCTCGTCAGTTTCCCCGACCGCTCACCCCATGGCGCTGCGTGTCCATCAGCGCAGAGCGTCCAAGGTCACCAGGGGAGCACACGCGCCGACCGGCGACGAAAAGTATGCAGCAGACGAAAAAGGGAGCAGACTAGCGCCTTGCATGCTTTCGCATTCACAACTCAAAAATGCTTAGGTGTACCTCAATCTTTTTTTCTCTGCAGTTACCATCTAAACTGCTTTGCATAGTAACGTTTGCAAAGTGTTTGCAGTTCATTTTTCTTGCCGCTATGACTCATGGGCGACGCCTGTCGATACTCGAGAGCACCCGCCATGGCACACGAGGTGAATGAGACGTAGGTCCTGGAGGTAAGTGCACTTCCTTTCTCGGGGACCTCCCGAAGGGGGGGGCGGGCCTGGAATTTTTTAGAAGGGAGGGGGCCTCTACCCCTCCCGGGAAATTTTAGGGGGGGTGCTTAGGGCCCAAGCCCCCTGCAGTCAACTCCTATGTCGGCGACCGCTGCAGGCAGGTTAGCGGCTCTCCGCTTCGAAGAGGGAGTGAAACATGCGGAGATTCCTTTTACAGCGGTAGCTGTTATGGGCTCTTCCCGCCACTGGACACGACCCCCGTTGTTGACGCAGTCGTCGTCGAGGTTGTAGTTGGCGTAGCAGAGCTTCCGTAGTCGATGCTGCCAAATTCTCAAAAAAGATTGCCCGCGGGAATCGAACCTGGGTTCGCCACATGGGAAGTGGAGGCGATACAATAGAGCTATGCCATAACATTAACAACCCACCTCATACTTAGGGTTTTCACAGTACTTAAACCCCACTAGACGTGCTCTCTGGAAAAAAAAAAAATGGCCGACAACAAAATGCTATTGTAGCACTGTCAAAACTAAGAGCTTGTGCCGGGAGATGCGCTCCACAACAATAAAGAAAGAAAAGCGTTTGGAGCAAAATGGTCAGATCTCTATTATGTTCTGCACGATTTTGTTCACGCACCCCGCAGTGCGTGAACTCGACGCCGATGCCCAACGACCTTGCCGTAATGTGCTGCGGCTGTTGCTGCGACCGTACTGCAAGTTATTGCGGGAATGCTCCAGTTTTAGGGGCGAAGCTCCTTAGGGTCTAGCCTTATCCGTCCGTCAGTCCGGCCTCCGTGCTCACATAAAAAGAAAAAAATGTTTGCGCAGTCGACAGGATTTGAACCTGTGCGGGGAGACTCCAATGGATTTCTAGTCCATCGCCTTAACCACTCGGCCATGACTGTGGGACGAGTAGGGAGGGGGCTCTGAGATGTGGTAGTAACTCAAGAGCTGGGGACGTCATGGATGAAATGTTGCATGTAGCCGCTCAACGTCTATACAGGAGAGGGCGCTGCGGTCAAATGCGTATATAATCGCATTAAACTTTGCATGCATTGGCTCAATGTTTATAGATGAGAGGGCGCTGCGGTCAAATGCTTAAATGCGTATATAACCACGTTCCATACCACACATTCTCTTTCTGACATGGACCGTTGACTTAAGCGGTGGAGATGCATTCCCACGGCTTCTAGCGGATCCAAGCTGATCCGCTAGAAGAACCACTGGCTCTGCATTTGATTGACCATAAAGCAGTAATAATGAAGTCGAAACGCAACTCGGAACTCAGCACTACCTATGAGCAATAAAAAAAAAAATCTGCACCATCAGCACTACCTATGAACAATGAAATCAGTATCATTAGCACCACCAGAGCTTCACCCCAATCAACATCATTCACCACGTGCAGATGTGGTCATTTTTCTGAAAACTTGCCATATTTATCCCATTCTAACACACTGTTTTTATACCCAAAAGCAATGCTTCCATCGTGCTCCTGACTTAGGTTTCATATCTGATTCTAATGTGCAGGCAGTTTTAGTGATGTTCTTCCCCCGAAAACGGCGCACATTTGCATCGGGTAAGCACGGTAGTATATGTAGCACATCTGCAAGGATGCTGCTTTTGATAGGCGAGAGACGTAATAATCCAGGAATACATTTTCAGACACAGCTGCGTATGACATTTCTAGAGGTTGTTTGCCACCGTCTGAAGTATGACAGACGGTAGTCTGTGGCTTCATTTGATTTACCTGCACCGGTGCAGAAAAGTGTAGGGCAGCCTCCGGTCCTATCTCAATACACACTGCAAGTACATTTTTCTGCACCGGAGTAGAAGGTTGAGGGAAATAGAACGAACAAAGCTAATGATGTGCCTTTTCGCCAGCAATACGTAAAATATTCTCTTCCTGGAGCGGACCTCCACAACTGAATCGGTCTGATAGTATTGGTTCTTGCAGTGCTGCTATAGCCTGCTCCAAAGCAGTCACATGCAGAACCTCGTCTGTAAACAAGCTTTTTGCCATCCAATTGGGGGAGGAGGGGGCTTGGATGTGTTAAGGTATGATGAGAGTGCCACCTGTCCTAGTACTGCAGCTCTTCAATGGATGGAGCTCTTGGTCTTGGCACTAGTGCGATTGCCGTAAATTTGTACTTGAACCTTCTATTGTTTATTTTGCAACAACTGCCGGTATTCGAGAGATGTTGGTTGCCTTTATTCAGCCGATGTCGACTCACCGGCGGCAGTATCTCTGAAAAATAGGGTGATGACCTGTTACCTGTCTGAACAAAAACTGTTATGTATGCATCCAAAAGAAGAGCCACACTGAGATACGATATCCGTGTCTGTTAACATGATGAATGCAATGTGTTGGCAGTGAAGTGGATTTCATTTGCTGTTTGCACTAACTCCGCATGCGACTTTGACTTTGTTTTAACCGAGATGATCTTAAACTTAGCCGGTCTAAAACAAGACAATATATATAATTTGAGACAAAGCCTCGAGACTGGGAAAAAAAATAAGGACAACACAACACACAAAGTCTCGGGGTTTTGTCATAAATTATGTTAAATCGTCACCAGCTTGTTTGCACCCTAACTTTTTGTTTGACAATATAGTACTATATGGGGTGTTTCACGAAAGGTGGACAAATTCGATATTGCGAAAACTATGCGTTGCAACAAAAAAAGGCTTGCGTCGCTTTGGTCCTGGGCCAGGGGCTTATTTAGGAAAATTATTAAAGTCCGGGATAATTAGATTGTTAATTATTTTTGCATAATTAACTTTTTTAATATTGCGTCTAAGGGCATGGTCTCAATTACAAAATTGCTCAGCATCATTGAAAAACACTAAATCAACAAATTGCAAAAAGATAAAAGGAACGCAGAGCATTTTACGGCTTTTTGAAAAACCGCACAAATTCGACGAGTTTTTAAGTTTCAGTTTGCAATCGCAGCACATCTCGGCCCCGACGGCACCGCGCCCCGTGGAGAAATAATGCAACCAGCCTCTGCTGCGTTGTGCGAGGACAGCGCAGCAGAGGATGCGACTGACTGGATCGGACGTTGTCCGTGAAAAAGGTTGAACGCCAGCAAGATGGCCATGCTACCCGAGAGACCCTGCTGGGCGCCGACACCTCGGCGGTCGAAGGGGAATTGATAGTGCATTTCACAAGCTGCATGCAGCAGGGCCGAAGCTATGTGGCGTGCCGAGGTGCTTCCACCTGCACAGCGGGGGGGACGGAAATGTCCCTCCGAGGCCCCAACGCCTATTGTCGCTTTTCCTCAGCCAACCTCCATAGAATGTCTCGGTGAGTTAGGCGCACTCATTGGGCGGTTGGTTGAGAGTCGTGTAGCATCCACAGTGCTGCACGCAGCTTGCGAAATGAACTACTATAGGTCACTGTTGTCCCGAGCTAGGGTAGCTAGCGTGTGCGCACCACAAACTACGTGCGGCGTAAAAATAAATAGGTTGGTTATGTGGCTTTGGAATTCGGGGAGAAGTCGGGTTTAACCTGATTCTCCTCAAACATGTTCAGGGTGTAAAAATCAAGTAAAATCGGGTTTTACCCGAAAACGAACAACCCTATGTATATACTATCCTACTTTTATCTGAAAGGAAAAGGACACCTTAATATGGGCAGAGCAAGTTGTCTCCAAAGCATTCACAAGTCCTGGCACATGACCAATAAGGGAAAAAGAATATGCATTGGTTTGTAAGAGCTTGGCCCACCTGGCTGTCTAAAATTTTAGGCACAAATTCACAACCTTAAATTTATAAAATATTTAAAAATATTACCATATATGACTGCAAGTACATTTTTTTTTTCTTCTATTCTTAGCAGCACTGCCTATCGGAATCCTTGCTTGCCCTGGTACGATTTCAACATTTTTTGTCGCCTTGTATTATCTTTTAATTTTTGGAAGTTTTACATTCTTAACTCTTAAGAACTAAAGAAGGTTTTACATTTCTGAGTACTAATGCCCATGTTTCCTTACGTTCCTATGTTTCCATCAACAAGAAGGTTTTTGCCATTTTCTCCTCTGCGTAGGAAAAAAGATTTTCCAGGTTTACTTTTTTTTAAAACCTACTCATAAAATTTTAGTACAATAAATTCACCACCTAAAGGTACTTCAGTGAAACATTAAATAGCATCCAGTTCTATTTGTCTATTTGTGCAAATCTTATTACGCAGAAATAGCGCTAAAGTTTTTACATCTTGCACTGGTACCAGTGGCGTCACTAGTAGGGGCTATGGCTCGCTGAAACCCCCCCTCCTTTCCCTCGTGATGCCATTAACTGGTACTATTCGAGGAACCAGTGCTTTTTATGTGGCATGTCTCTGCTGGCTCGATACAGCTCGGAAAATATGCGTTCCTAGTAGTACTAGGAGATGATAAAATGATTTATCAATGAGTATGACTTTTAATTCACCGACCAAACAAGGTTTCAAGTTAACTCACCCGTTTTCTGCTGCTTCTTGTTTCTTTTTGTGCTTTGCTATTTTGTAGTGCTTTCTTGACTTCAGGTGGGCTGCAATTAATTCATAATGCATTTAGATCCTTCTTGCACTAGAAAGAGCAGCTTATACAATGCCTGTACATTTTAGTTTGCATATGGGTAGGTTACCATAGAGCCTTTGCCTTTGAAAAGTTTGACACAATTTTTTTTTGCCATGCATTCTATTCGAAGCATTCCAGTTGCTCTACACTAGCTTGCAAAAGTTTTTTTCTGCACTTCGTATGTCGCAAAAATGTAGTCCCTTTGTCCAGGGACGCAGTACAATCATCCCATCTGAAAGTAATGCAGAAGGAAGAGTGCCCCTTCCCTGCACTGCAGTAGTGCGTGGCGGGAAAAGCACACTGCGTAAATGTCCTTCATCGTGGCTCGTTTGCTCAACAGGAGAACCGCACGTCGTAAGTGCACTTCACCGCAACGCACAGTGCCAACAGTGAAAGCAGACTTCAGGTGCAGGGACGTTCGTCAGAACTGGGCGTTATGGGAGTAAATAAAAAGTTGTCCGCGCCCCCTGGCTGTACGACTTATCTTCATCGAAATGCAGAATTTCTTTTAATCGAAACCTTTCTAAACCCAGGCTTGTGATAGATTATTGCATACAATCATTTGGATAACTTCCAAATGACTTGTCATAACACTCACTGTCACTCGCCCATCTGACAGAGTCCGTTCACATGCACGCCCAATGTCGTCGTCGGTCGTGGACGCAAACCGGCTCCTTCTTTGTGGTATAACACTTGTGCATCCTTCCTTCAAGTTTTGTATCCATTCCGACACACTTCCCTGCGACAAAACACTGCCTCTATACCGTGCACAAAATCATCGATAAATATTGCAACCAGATACACCCTCAGATCACGATGGTTTCCCCATTTGTGTAAATTTACCTTTTCCACATACCGACGACACCAGGCGGTGGCTGCACAAACTAAAAATCGAGGAAGTTACCAAGGTTGGGCAGTATCGCAATACATGGTATTTCAGAAATACATTTCGTATCTGTATTTCTGTATCGCGATACATTTTTGTCACTAGTATCTGTATTCCTGTATCGAAATACATTTGGAATGTTTCTTTGTATCGCGATACAATCAGGATGAAATGTATTTCGTTACATTTCTTGAGAAATATTCCCCCCTCCCCCCCCCCTCCAAAAAAACAAAACAAAAACAAATTCAAACACTTTTTTTTTTGCTTCTGAAGGCATTAAGGTCAAGGAGATGCTGGGGCATTGTTACTATTCTGACCAAGGTTCCTTCCGATTCTCCAAACTATTTTTCTATGCGTTCTGAGAAGTGTTGTGTAGTCGGGGATTCATACCAGGTGGCGTGCACAGAAGTGGAGTCGGAGCATCTTCTGCCGCAGTTTGCTGGCATCCAATGCCCACTGCTAACCGTCTCTCTTGCCTTAGCATACACAGTACACCCAGCCGGCAAAGCTGAATCACAGTCCGTTGCAGCACAAGCCTGGTGGTGGCTGACTTGAAATAGTAGCATGACTCACGCAGTCAACACATATTCGAATGCGTCTGCGGCTGTGCCTGTAATATTGCATGGCTCAAGGGTACGTCATCAGCCGACGTGAACGTGACCTGCTGCTCTGGTGATCCGAAACCCAGGAAGGAGGCCAGACGTGGCCTCGCTGTGTCGACCCCGACTTCGTAAACTGTGACTCGTCTCGAGCGCGCTGTTTCTCGGAGAGCTCGCACCTGTGCCGGCAATATCAGGTTGCAATCCACAATGTCTCCGTTTAGATGATGCTAGGCGAAACTTGAGGACTGCAATTCATGCGTCGATAGCAAAGGGTCAGCAGGAAGAAACTTTACAACAGGGATGCCACCTATCGTTCTTTGACCCAGAAAAGAAGACAAGACATGTGTTCCAGGATGCTTCAGGTGGTCCACAATTCTTAAAAATTCCAAATGACACTGCCTGCACGATCTTCAATGAGGTAACCTACAACGAAAATATGTATTGTCCTTTCATACAGCAGCGTGGGAAAGTTTCACGTTCAAGGCCACACCTACACATAAAGAATACCACTTCATTCCACCATGACATTATGTGATCAATGTTGACAGGGGCGTGGTGACGTTTCGATGGGATTTAGGGTGACATAGAATTGATTCAGAGGTCGAAATCTTCGCATCCCTCGTCCGACAGATAGGATGTCTGGGAAGGGAACATGGTCAGTCCTTGACGGAACGTTTTCTTGAGCCCATTGGAGACTCCCCGTCATCCGAAACCACAACCTTTAAGGCAGAGTGCCAAGCGTACAGGAAAGTAATTTCGGGATCAAAAACTTACACTTCAAACTTCAAGCTTCATCTCAGATGGCATCTCAAACAAATTTGAAAAATGTATTGCAGTATCAGTATTTCTGTACTTGTATTTCTGCCCTCCCTAAAATGTATTCCTGTATTTGTATTTCCAAAGACTTTTTGCTTCTATTTAAAATGTATTTCCGACACGTATCACAATACATTTTTACAGACATATTTTAGTATCAGTATTTTAGCTACTATTTCAATGTATCCCGGTATTTGTATTTCCAAATACATTTTTGAGTATTTCTGCCCAACCCTGGAAGTGACCTACGTGCGCCACCAATCGATAATGGGAGCTACGCTACCAGTTTCTTCGCTCTCTGAGCTGCGGCGCGTGCCCAACGCGTCTTTAAAGGGGCCATGAAACGCTTTTCCAACTATTTCCTGTTCAGCTTTCCTCCTCAACTCATAAATCGTGCATTGTACCAAACAGTTCAAGAAGACAAAAAGAAGGCAGTCCCCCCTTGCTTGGAATCTCGTTTGTATACCCGGACAGAGCCATTGTCCCCCTAGAAGATTAGCCCGTCGCTCAAAATTCAGACAAAAGTTGCTTTCCCCACCCCGTTCACCCCGAACCTCACAGTGCTGTGGAAGCTACCGTATTTACTCGCATATTGGTCGATACGTCGTATAGGTCGACCCCCTAACTTCGGGACCCCCGAAAAAAAAAAAAAGTTGAAAAATATAATACCGGGATTCGCGTATTGGTCGACCCCCCAGTTTTGATGAGGCGATTTTTGAAAAACAGGTCGACCTATACGCGAGTAAATACGGTACTTGCTCGCTGGGCCAGCCACACTTTTGCCACGTGATCACGCTCTCTCGCACATACCCACGCGCAGAGAATGAGGTCAGGTGATGAAGGGGAGGCGGCTGATTGGTTGGGCAAGCGCGCAGCTTCCATTACAATGTCAGCTTAGGGGTGAAGGGAATAAGGGAGGTCCGGAATCGTGTGACGTGCGTTTGGACCTGGTGACGCGCTTTGGGAACCGCGGATGTATCACAGTGAAAAGGCAGGGAGCTTATGAAGGGGAGGAGGTACGAAATAGTCCGCTGTGTTTTCCGACTTTCGCACTGAAAGTCAGGCTTTTGAATTTCTACCTTTTTTCTGTTGGCCCCCTGAACGATGTGCTTTTAGTAAAATCCCAATCCAAAGTAATTTATACCAGCCCAAAATTCGTTTCATGGGCCCTTTAAAAAGGGGCATCCTAGAATGGAAAGTTGGGCTAGTTTTCTGTGAGCTTGACTTAAACAGCGCAAAAAAGTTACATAAGGAAGAGACAACAGGAAGGAAAGAGCGCTGACTCACAACTGAGGTTTTAATAATGATGTAGTGAAAGAGAAGGAAGGTGTCAAGTGCTGTAATATTATTAAATTAAAGAAGGTTATAATTATAAGGGCCATATTAACGGAATGACAATTTGCAATTCTAAGTAACCCAAGTGAATATATCTACGTACAAATATTCAGATGTGATCTACGAAGTTGTCGGTGACCCAACGGTTACTGGTTGTCACAGCCAGAAAAAAAGAAGAATCACGATGTCGACGGTGATCCCAAGGGCGTTGGCTTCCACAGAAATGAAAATTGAGAAGAAGGAAAAGGAAGAAGAAAACAGGAAGAAAAATAATTTAGGGACTAAAATTCAAAAATTGGAGCTCTTTCGCCGTCAGAGCAATCGAAGGCGTACTTATGCAGGCTAGGCCCTTATTCGCGATCTTGCACGCCTCGTACACCTCTCTAGTCTTTTGTTCCTTAAAATGTTTAAGCACCTTAGTCTCAGAAAACCTTGGTGTGCAGCCGCAATCTCTCACATGCACAGCAAGATGGCCCGCTAGCGTTGAGTTTAGAGAAAGTGCATGTTCCCTAAGTCTCACATTGATGCACCTTCCAGATTGTCCCAGATACACCTTCCCACATGACAACGGTATTTCATATATGATGCCGCTCTGACATTCCACGAACTTTCTTGCATGGTTGATTTTACATAGGTCGTGTGTATCCCGCTGCTCGTTGATTTTTGGACATAATCTTTTAAGTTTGTCGGGCGCTGTGAGGAGGATAGGAACCTCAAACTTTGCGGCTACTCTTTTTAGGTTATGCTGTGAGCTATTTGCGCTGTTTTTTCAATATGAAAAAAGAGGGGCATCCGTGGCGTCCACCCAAACGTCGTGTTTTTCTTTCTGTCCACTTTTTTTTTCTGTGTAACACAATTATATATATGCTGCAATTACGTGTTCTACTCGCTGATCCACAGCCACCTTTCCAATTTCCACGATTTTTCGTGCCGACCTCCGCCACTTGGCATTGGAGGCGCGCGCGTGCGCAGAACGCTTCTAGGAAAAGGTCCATTGCAAGTGGGGCAGCCATTGTTTCTCGCACCTCATTCACAACTGAAAACCTGCACAGCAGCGACCTCGTGTGAAAAGCGCCGATAAGACAGTGCAAAATATGTTTTAATCGCCCTCATATACGCATTTTCAAGGAACACTTTGCCCCAGAGACCAGAAAACCTTTCTCGAGCCCACTCCTTAGGTTCGAAGCATATCTCTCACCGGCGTTCCTGCTAACCCTAACCGAGCGGATTGTTGATTTCGCAATTGCAGACAATGCTGGTGGCTAAATTCTTGCCTATTTTCTTTTTTTTTTCTTTTGTGTTTCATGGTTTATTTTTTGAGAACATTAAAAATGCATTATACCGCGTTAAAATAAAAAAAAAAGTAGATCTTTTTTTGGAACCTTTATTTTACTTCACAATGAGTTTTGATTGCGCCACCCACTCAACAATGTCGATCGACAAAGCGGTTAGCTGTCGAAAATAATTTACAACAGGAGATGGCCCATGCACGCAAATAATGTGTTTACTGATGTGCATGACAAAACTAACACATGAAATTTAGCAAGTGTTAACATTCGAGTAATATACTGTATGTACCACACGTGCAGGGTTGTCCAAAAAGGATATTTTTGAGAAAGGTCTCAAATAACACAGCACTACGGTGTCGACGATCAGACAGAATCCAAGAGAACCTCGTTTTTGGGTTTGCTTTGGGGAGAGTTTCCATTTTTTCACAACAGCAGCAACAAGGCAAAGAGACAGATGCAACTGATCCTCCTCTTCCCCCACCCCCCCCGCCTACCCGATTGGCTATTTAGAGCGATGACTGACAAGGAGTCTACGTGGATTATCTCTAATACCCCTGTTACACAGGCACACTTAACTGCAGTTACGCTAAGCCACAGTTAGCGTACAATACTTGCAGACAACATTCTGCGGCTTTGCAGTCAAAGCTATGGGTGAACGTGCGCTTGAGCATCTTGAGCTCCCATCAAAGCAGTGCAAACGCGCTCTTCACTTCTTCCGAAATAGCTGTCCGAAAGCATAGTGCGGTAACTGTGATGACGCATAACAGCAGTTAAAGCTGAGTTAACCGCGGTTAAAGGCGCCCGCGTAACAGGGATATAAAAGAGTAGGGAAAACGACCGTCATTGTTCACAAAATTGCATAGAGCGCCGTTCGACACTCTTTCCTTCCTTAGTTTCTCACGAATGCCAAGCAGAAACGCTTGAGTGGCAGGCATTTACCAGCACTTACAGTGAAAGTAGCAGGAAAAGGATATGCAGCATGCGTCAGAAAAATAAAGGGGAAACCTTCAAGAAAGGCCGAAACACTAGGAATGCAAAACCGCAAAAGATGCGTGGAGAATCACGCCGAGCAAGTTACAACGGTCCAGGAGAGTGACAGAAAATTTCGAGCCGACAGGGGGTATGAGAGTTGCACCGATTCCATCATCATCAGCAATATGGCAGCGGCCTAGGAGCGTCTTTCGGAAAGGCGCAGACTCGCATGCGAACGCACTGCTCTTTCCGCGCAAAAAAGTAAGTTACAATTTCGGGCGATTGTGCAAGCACGTACAACAGATTTGCAAACCGAAAACGCACCTTCCCAAGTGATGCTTCCCACCGTCGAGACGTTGCAGACGTCACAGGTGAAGAGTTGATGCACGTTGCCCTTGTTCTCGACGGTCGGCAGGGGGGCATGACGCACCGCTCTCTCCTTGGAATCAAAGATGACGAAAAGAACGAACGCGATGCCATCAACTTCCCGGTTCAGAACCGCATCAATGTGTACCTAAATAAGGCACAACTTCTGATAATCAGAAAGTAACTAAAGCCGACGACAGGTCAGGGAATCGGTAGCGGGGTAAAAAAAGGACCCCCAGCAGACGTTCACTGCCCTCCGCCGGACCTTAGCTGCATGTGTGACGGAGTGCAATTGAAGGCAGAAAGCTCGTGCTCAATGCGGAACATCTATACTGGGTTCTTAGTTCGTCGCTCACTATAGTAAATTGAACATTATTTTCAACTTTCTTTTCTTGGGCGAGAAATGGGAAAACGGTACGACAATCATACATTTGAACATCTCAGTCGTCTTTGGGGCATTTGAAGACGCAGTTGCCGATCTGCCTGCTTCAATTCTTCGTTTACACATCTACTACAACTGGGCAGTAAAAATCCTGTTCAAGGCATGATTAAAAGATCGCAGTCGGGCAGTTGAAAAAAAAAGAAAGAAAAGATGCGTAAAAAGGAGTACAGCTTTAAGTTAAACAATGTCCGTTCCGTTTTTAGTTTCTACTGCTTCATCCCCATGGATGGCTTGAACGCAACGTCTTTGCACCATACTGGCGGTTGTTCCCACTTGTCCTTGACGAGAAAAGCAAATTCGGTGGTGCAGAATGGTTGTTGCAGAAGGCAAGCTCTTGGCAGCAAGGCCACAGCAATGGTGGCAAATGTGACATCAATTCAAGCGACGTGTAACGCGTGCAACAAGCTTTTAAAGCATGACCCACCTCGAGGCAATCCTCGACGATGTCGAAAGCTCGGTCTCTGACGAGGTGCTCCCACTGAGAAACGTCCGTCGCATCGAGACCGTAGATCGGTGGTACCTGTCTATCCGGGGCTTGCATTCGGAGAGAGAGAGCGACACCGACACAATTGAATGCGCCAGGATCAAAACCAAAACGGAGCCCTCCCCAAACCGACAACACTCACTGCTCAGAAACCGCTGCATGATCCACTTCTTCTGTCGTCTTGAGTAGCGCTTTGTCACCTGTTTCATGAGCCACAGACCTGCACGTCAGAACAACACGGCGCTGTAGTTTGTTTGTGGGAGTAAAGCTGAGGCTACTTGCCTTCCGCGAAAAGCTTCTGCCCCTTCTTGGACTGCTGTTCCTCCGGACTCATGACAAGATACCGGTGAAATTCCTTGAACCCAATGGACTGGAAGATGCCCCTCGTGTAGTCTCCCTCTCTTGTGAAAGCGAAGCGCAAGACAAAGAAAAACGCAGGGTTGTTTATGTACTATACTCTGTTTCACCTTCCGACGGACTGCAGAGGATGTGACGAGCAGTGATGAGCGATTGAAGCCAATCCGATACCGTGTCCGTGTGAGCGTAACATGACCTTCGACGGGGACATGGCGATGCGCAGGGCGCTTAGTCAAACGATACATTCACAATGCTAGATTGGGTGGGATGGCTCGTAGCATTTGCTGCAATCCGTCGTGGGGTGAGATGGTGTACAGACACCTTCTTCGTGAAGAATTGTTCAGGCTGGGCTGCCAAGTTGTATCAGTGTTCTTTAGATTAGCAAGACTCTCAGGTTTCCTTTTATGTCTGCCGCAGGAGTTCTCAAACATTTTGATTTCGAGGAACGACTATCTCTCTGGATCGATAATTGAGGGACGCTTTCTGGTGCAATAAAGCGATTGACAGAATCTCACAGACTTTATAAACATTAATGAATGCTTGGTGCAGAGTCATACGTCAGTGGGTGACTCAGATCTGCTAAAATAGTGCTTAAACTGGAAAAACACTACACCTAGGGTAGGGAACGGTTTGGGACACATAGCAGTTTGGAGGACGCATGAGGGTATTCTTGGAAACTCCTAGGCCCCTAGGAACCCATCTTGAGAACTTGCGATCTACTTATCGGGTGGAAAATCAAGAGCATTCTACAAGCGGCTTAATATACTGTTTCGTATGGTCCCCAAAAATGAGAGGACCGCGGGAGCACACAAACACCTTTGCCCTCACAAGTTCTGCTCCAGCCGATGCCTGTTGTAGCGGCTGTGGAACTCCTGCATCTCCCGAACCAGCCCGCAGTTGATCATGTCATCGACACGACCGTCCAACCGCTCGTCCAGAACTGTGAATACAGTGTAAGGAAACGTTTGCTGCAAACTGAACTTGCTGCCTTCTTAAAAAGCCCATCATGCGGCAGTTACATTAAACCCTATCACATAATTAGTTGGAAGCAGCACTTATTAATTTGCTTCTAGTTATACTACCATATCACAGGCCAATTATTTAGTTCAAGGAGGTATACAAAAAAAATTTTACAAATAAAGAAACAACAGTGAACTGCTCTCTATGAGTAAGTTTATAATGTAACTCAATGCTTCTGCACTGCAACAAATTTTTTTTTTTTACAAGGATTTGTTATCTTAACACACACGACGCACAATTAACTACCGTAAAATACCGTAAAGGCACCCACCCAATATGAAGGAATAAATGGTGGAAAACATAAGATGGGAACAGATATCACGGACATTGCAAATTAGCGTTTCACAATGCGATAAACACTCGAGAACTCGCTACAAACTCCTGTGTCACGGGAAAGGATACCGCAGACTGTGAATGCAGCAGATTCGTGCTTCATAGTACGATAAACATGCAGAAACCAGCTAAACTTGCGTGTCACGGAAAGCGATATCGCACTCAGATTGTGGACAAAATATGTGGAAACTCGCTACAAACTAGCATGCCACGGGAACCGACATTGCATGCGCAGATCGCGGACAAAAACGCGGGAACCCGCTGAAAACTTGCTTGTCACACATACCGATACTGCAGATTGTGCAGTTGATGTGCCTCCTATCGGACATGACGTGATGTGATGTCCATGATGAGCAATTGGAGGGTGGGCAATGCTTCGGAATTTTTATGTTATGCATATTTATCCAAAAACATGGGATGGGAGATCTCTCGGTGAAGGGCACCCTTACAGGATTTTACGGTACAGTCTACGCTCATTACAACAGACCTGATTACAGCAGACATTTGGATATAACATACCGATTTGTGAAGTTCGGCTGATTTTCCTCTACATACCATTGACTCAATTTCATATCTGCATACAACATACCCCTTTTACAACAGACGAAATCTTGGTCAAAATCAAGGTCTGTTATAACGAGCTTAGACTGTACAAGTTTATCTATTAGATTGAGGCTTGGGTCATCTTTTTGCTAAGGCAAGCATTACCTGAGAACCGGCTACTTTTGAACCAGTGCACAAGTTGGGACTGATAGTCTCTAGCTGAGAACAACAAAGCTAACCTATCTCTTCAACGTCCTTTGTTGCGTTGCAAAATATATTGTTTATGCCTTCTTCCTCCTCCTCCGTATATATCCCCTAAGAATGACTATCAATTCAAAGTCGAAATTCATTACTGTCGCACCAATGCCCCCCTTGACTCTTTTGTTCCCAAAATGTCATCCGAATGGGACCGCCCTCCCGCGTCTCTAGAGTCCATAACATCAGTAGATTTGTATAGAATTGTGGTTACCAATCATTTTTGTTAATTCTTCAGCACCCATGTTTTACTTCATTTTTGTACTTGACTTCATTATATCTTATATTTTGTTGTTGCTTTTGTCCCTCCCCTTTGTAACACCTGCCGGCCCTGAGGGCATTGAAGTAAATAAATAAACAAAATGTGATTGTACCTGATGTGAATAGGAGCGACCTTGACCACATTTTTGTGAAGTGGGACCAATGAATCAAATACAGTAAAACCTCGTTATAGCAAAATGGGATATAACAAACTAATGGATATAACAAAGCAATCATAATTCCCCTAGCTTGCTAATAGTGGGAAGAAATGGACATTGGCTATAACAAACTAATGGTTATAACGAAACAATTACGACCACTCCTTCAACTTTGTTATAACGAGGTCTTACTGTAGTGCAGTGTCACTGTCGCTTCAAGATTCTCCCTTGCATCGTGAAAGTGGTGCACTGCTGCTACTAGTATTAACACATCCCTATCCAGAACAAAGTAAGACACAAGAATAAAAGAGAAATCACTAGTCACCATAGTACCAAGCATGTCATTGCTATTACTTTTCATTCTGTGAACTCCTTTGGTGAGGGGGAGGAAAAAAGAAATCAGACCGACCTTGCTGGTCACACTGGAGCCAAAGGACACAGGTCCGGGGGTAACGCAACGGCCCGCCGAGAGAACTGCCACCGTGCAACCGCTTCTGCTCCTCGATCAGCTCGCTGTGTGGCTTCAGGTGTGTTTGGTACACCTGCAAGCTCCTTTCCATGCAAAGCAGACACACTGATTACACACTTTGCTCTACTGCACCACATATACATACCGTGAAATCCCAAGAGATAGCCCACCTAACATCAAGAGCAAAATCGGCTGAAAAGGTTAACTTTCAGCGCACAATCAAAAAAGTTTTCTATTTTAAGGTCGTGTCCTTTCCAAGCTTGTTATGGTGGCGAGGGGCAATGAAGCAAAGATGACTGTACTTGCCAGTCAGCAACATTCCCTTATATCCTGCCATAGCAAACTAGCTGCATTTACGCCGAAGCCATCATTGATCCCAACACTACTATTACTAGAAATGGGCTATCATTCAGTCCTAAAAAAAAATATAGCAAATCAAGCTAAAAATAGGGGTGGGCTATCTTTCGGGGGTGGGGCATCTCTTGGGATTTTACGGTAGAACTTATTCTACCGAAAATGCAGTTCCCCAACAAATTAATGCATTTACTCGGATCACATGCTGCACCGTTTTGGAATGGCCCTGTGCACATACAGTCTCCACGAGTATGAAAAACCCGCTCGGAGCATGTGGCAGAGAAGGCAGCTGACAATGGCCCCGCTTGTGCTTTTGGCAACTTTGTGTCGCTCCGAGGGAAGGGAAGGCACATCATCAGTGTGCGCCGATTACGTTCGGCTGCATCATCGAGTTTCGCTCCCCTGGGAGCAAAGTGAAACTGCACATAGTGTGCAATGCTACCCATCGGCTACCCCTTTGGCCACGCTTTCCAAGTGGGCCTTTCATATTGGCAAAGACTGTACTTCCAGAACGTTTGGGTGGCCAACCATTGCCACCTATGAAGCAAGGCAAGTCAATAGCGAGAGCCTAAAAGATATTTGTGCTCAGAAGTATGATGTCTACAGTTTTGGGCACATAAAACGTAACATGCGGTATCCCCACACACATTGCAAATTTTGAGGGAGAACAGCTTTCACAGAAATATATGCCGAGTTCCCTCTACAGATCATTATATATTGCTATTATGTTCTGGACGGAAGAGGGCATGTGGGCCTTGTTCCTAAAGAGTTGAAGTAATGTTCAATTAATTATAGTTTTAACAAAAGCAGCTGTGAGAACCTATTTTAAGCGTAAGTGTATTTGCCTTGAATCTTTCCTTACCGCTCGATCTTACGCCGGTCTTTGGGATGCAGCATTTTTGCACGAGCCCTGTCGACCAGCTCAAGACAGCTGTACATGTCGTCCGTGGAGGCTTCCTCCAGTTGTGAGTTTGCGCTCACCTTGGTAAGCAAGCTGTCGAGTTTCGTCTTTTCCTCTTCGTTAATGGTTTCGTTTCTGGGGTCCGACAAGTGTGAGATGATGATGTCCTTCAAGACCACCTTCCTGCTTTCGAAAGTGAGCTTGCCTGGTTGCTGACTCTAAAAAATAAGAAAAGTAAATATGTAGTTTGTACAGCTGCTTTAAACAGATTACACATGAAATTGCTTTTGGCTATGCTTTTTTTATATACATGATCCATTCAATGTTACAACTTTTAATTCAAACAGGTAGTGGCATCAGAACAGGGGGGGAAGGGAGGGGAGGGGGGGAAGGCATTCATCCCCACAGATATTTAGGGCTTTTCTGGTAAACAATTCAGAGGAAGTAAAGGGAAATTCCCTCCACCATATTATTGCCCCACCATCTTCCAAAGACTAGCGATACCGCTATCAGACTGGGATCCTCAGACCTTAGCTTTCCAGAAGTTCAATACTTGGTCTCTGTGAGAGTGAGAGCAAGGTCTAAGCTGGCTCTCACAGAGAAATGCAAGGTATCATTAGCAGACGATTAATCAGCTAATGCATGCTAAGGACAAAGGTTTGTCTGCTATAAAGTGTCATTCATAAAATAAAACAAGAAAACACCTATGAACCGTCTGCTAACGGAACCGGAGAAGGGTCGATCGTGTGCTTCGAATTGAGTATTGTGGGCGAATTGACCATATACAAGCTTAATTTGCGAACACCTACCATTTTACAAAGGAAACAAATGAAAACCCATGCTTCTGTTCCAAGTGCCGTCCCTCTGCCACCATACATGAACAGATATCCGCCAATGAACAAGTGAGGACTTGGAGCAAGTACATCAGTTAAAAGACCTCTCTCCCTACTCGTCTGTATGTGAGAAGTTGCCACCCAAAATATTACTCAATTATAAACATTTAAAAAATATTCAAACTTTTTAATAACTCAACACCCCCCCTCTTCCTCTTCCCCCCCCCCCCAACAAAAAAAAAAAGTTGCAACGTTACATTTAATTAGCAGGTGAGGTTCTCACTCTCACAGAGACTAAAATTGAACACTAGAAGCTCCTAGCAACCTCGAGAATACAATATCTCAGGTGAAAACATTGTCGAATGACACTGCGGCAACTTTGCGAGATTCTGGGCCTCTTTCGAGAGTTTGGCAAAGCTGAAGGAGTTGGGTTGGCAATCTTTGTGTGTTGAGCCATTGCATCCGTTCAACAGTATGCAATGACATCGGGTGGTGTGTCATCAAACTGACTCCACGGGAAATTATGAGACAGGGAACGCAGAGCATCTATACCTCTGGTTTGACGAGCACCCTCCACAGAAGGGATTCAATGTAATAATTGGTTCCGCCCACAATGACAGGCAGCTTTCCCTTGTTCAGTAATCCTTCAATCTGAAAATGAGAACGTCATTAGTTGCTGAGAGCGTATATTAGTACTCACCAAGTTTTATGTTTGACACTTTTAGCAATATTAGAAAGACAATAATCCTCTTTTGCACAAGTGCAATCCTAGATGAGATTCTGGGCTGAGCAGAAAGGTAAAACAATTTGTCCTCCTTTTCCAGGGAGACTTCCGGCACACATTTTGGCAAGGCTTTTCGAGCACATGCCAATGTCACAACCGCTAAATAAGTGAGATTTATACATGGCTTGGATGTGAGTTCATTGCACCATGCTGGTGGTTGTTCCTATTTATTCTTGCCGAGTAAAGACACATTCGGTGGTGCAATGTATGCTGTAGACACTTAAGCACTCGGCAGCGAGAATGGTAACTATAGTCGGTTACAGGTTAAGAAGGTAGCGGCAAATGCCCCTCAAAGGGAATCATATACCCCTCCGCCACCTCCGCATCCAATAGCGTCCCATCGTTTCCGTGACGTCGCGGCCAACGCGCGAGGAGGGTCTTGCCTTTCTGTACATATTTGCTTTATCTTTCGACTTTGACTTAGCATTGCGGAAGCCACGAGAGGGAGATTAGAGATTTCCCCCTCCAACGGAAACAAATACGACTTTCAGGGATTAGCTTCCCCCTCTGATGGATGCAAAGGCTGTTTTCAGGGGCTCGGTTCCCCCTCCAATGAATACAAAGGTCGCTTTCTTAAAAAGTGGTATCGGAGACAAGTTGGAACCCATTGAAGCGGACCAAGAAGCGTTGCCAATGAACTCTTCTTTCGACTGCAGAGAGATTTGAAACGGGCGCATCACCGCTTGTGGGAGGAGCTTCTCCTACCTTTTTGACTTGTAACCGACTATAATGTGGCATCAGAGCAAGCCATATATTTTTTATTCATCTATTTATTTATTTACAGATGCTACTGCCTTCTCTTGGAAGGTGTCATAGGACCGGGTTTCTAGGCCCAAAATATAGAATACAATAAACCTTTTGTAACTAACAAACGAAAGAATCATGCAATAGTTATACAACTATTTATTACCTTTGATGTAAACAACTCACACTCCGCGTGAGGCAGAAAGAGTAAACACAGTGCATCCAGCAATAAAAAGAAAAAAACAGTTGCCAGACATATTATTAACAATAAAAAAAAAAAAACAAGCACACTCACACATACCAAGCAGTAACCACCAGACAAACTTGCAAAGCAGTACAAAAAGTTACACATAATCAAATAGTATAGGTACTGGCACCAAGCACTCCCGTTCACACGAGATTTACGCTCTAAATAAATAAACACGCTGCAGAGAAAGTACAGCAGACCATTATCAACAGAAAGACAACAAGCGACAAATGCGGGAAAATTCTGGGATTCAATCATTTTATAAGAAACCTCAAGTATGTTCCAACAGCAACATAAACAATGTTTTTAAAGAGTGTGTAGATGTGGCATTGCCAATGACAAAAGGCAGTTTGTTCCAGTCTTTTAACGGTTTTTGGAAAAAAAATTATAACATCTGTACTCTGCGAGTGCTACAGTATTGTAGCTTCTTGTGGTTTGTGGAGTGGTATAGCATGATTGATCACTTTCAACACTATCATGAAGAAGGGTACATTAAAAAAGAGAGTCTCTTACTTTCCTGTGCACTTGGAGGGGCTGCATAATGTATAAAATCAACAACATCAGTGATCTCACAAGGTTCCCATTGCCGTGCACACAAAATGAGGGGGATAACCAGTGCCCCCACTTAATTATAAAAAAATTCATATGTAAATTAAGGGTTTCAGGCTGAGCATCTGATGTGTCCAAATATAAGTTGGTCTGTTTTAAAGATCTCTCCAAGTGCTGCCTCGTGAAATCTTAAGTAATATGGGCCGTCCTGCACTAATTCAATGTTTGTAAGTCAGTAAGCATTAGACATCTTTTTTTTCTTCTTTCTTTTCAAAAAGGAGAGAAGTGCAAACGCTCCGATCAAGAGTCGGGTGTCACTGTGTGGCACCACCGTTTTAGCATGACGTCAGAAACATGAGTCCACCGCAACATGGACTCCACGTTCGCGACCAGCAGTAAACAATAAATTAAATAGCAATGGGTGACCGTGCCATCCAGTATGGCGCCAGTTAGCGAAGACGGGCCCTATTTTTCCATTTAAATCTGCTGAAACTCTGGCATCTGGTTCGGACCACTGGCACTACATTTGTGCGGAGAATGTGCGTCCGGCAATGCATAATTTGGTATCAAAATTGCCTTACTATTCCGATGGCCTTATTTCTGAAGTCGACGACGGTGTACGACCACAACGGATCCAAAAAGTCGATGAGGTGGTGTGGTGCGGCTTCCCTCTCAGCCTGTGTGACCTTGTTCGTAATTATGTCGAGAGATTTGTACACCTGAAAATAAGAAGTTGAAGCAGTTGCAGCGTAGATGTGGCTGCCGCCAACGCGCACGCTAACGCCCAGGTTGATATATTAAGGCGTATTCGGTCGCTTACCTGCATCGAATCTGCGCTTATAATCTCTCCATTGAACTTCGATGCGATTTCGATGGCTAATTTCGACTTGCCGGTGCCTGTCGCACCCAAAATAACCACGAGTGGCAAACTCTTGCAGCATTTCAGTGCCATGGGGGCCGCCATCTTGGCCTTAGTGGTGGCCAGCCGGCGCAAGAAATGGCGCTAAACTCGGAGAAGCAGCGCAGATCATATCAAAAACAAAACCAACGGAACTTTGGTATTGTGCGTGTAGGGCATGCGTGAACATGACTGTGATAACGGGAAAGTACTACGTGTTGACTTCGTTCACGCTTCACTCCTGTTAAAATATCCGTGCGTTACGTTCTGACAAATAGTATTCCACTGATCCCCGTTTGGTCGCTGCAGCGCGACTGCGGCCCAGGACATCCATCTTGCATGCACCAAAATCACGCTTTCGCTAGCGTTGCAGAGGCTGGCGGTAACGCGCTGAAGACACGTTTTCTGCTCGTTCGTCGTCATTCGCCGAAGAAGTATTTTTAAAACCCCGTGTAAGCCGTGAGACTTGCCGTTGAGAATACGTGTACGTTTTTAAGGAAGCGCAGTACCACAGGAAACAGGCACAACTCGTCGGAAGCAAGTTTCGCCGGTCTCGCGGCGTCACAAAAGCTTCCTTAGAACGACCAAGTGTTGCGTCTCTGTGCCTTCGTACGCTTGGATAAAAATCAAGAATCGACACCGTGTGGACGTGTTTTGCGAGTGCAGTGTGCGTGACGCCGTATGTTAGGGTGACCACCTTCCTGCTGGTGGAATGTGGGACACCCTGACCGGGGGGGGAGGGAGGAGGAGGAAGGGGGGAGTAAGAGGAGAACGGTATTTGCACGACTCAACAAATAAGTATTAAGGGAAATTCACCAGCGCGCGCACCCCGAAATCCTGTGCTGTCCGAAAGCTTATTATACACACCTGAAAACTGTACGCGGCAATTAAACTAAGATAGGTTTCACTCACGGTGGTATACTTTTGTTTATTTGTAATGGTAAATATTTTATTAAAAGTATCTAAGTTGAAAACATAAAGGTCGACTGCACCAGATCCCAATGCATCAAAAGAAAAAAAAAATACAGTAAATATTTTTCGGCTTTTTCTTTCCTGCCGATACTTACTCTTATATTAACATGCTCCTACACAAAAACAAAACCTTACGTTGTTGTTTTCTTGACCGTTGTGAGTTGCAGGTTTTTTGCCTTCTGTGACCGTCTTCACTAAAAAAAAAAAGCTTTCCACAACAACCCTTTCGCATGATGCAGTATGATTTGCAACTAACTACAATAGTTTATTTTTCAACTTTTGGCGAGCAATTTTCGCTTGCAATATTTTGCCATCAAGGGGAGAGGCACAACGGCGCATGTGCGTCAGTCTCCTGCAAGGACGACGGTTGCTTCCCGCAGTGCTTGGCAAGAAAACGACATACCATCGAGGTTCACACATTTATCAGCGACCTTCGCGGTTCCCCGTTGCCCGTTGTTCAGAAGCGCCATAATTTGCGCAGTGAATGTTACGACAATGTGAAATGCGGGACATTTCGAAGATTTGGAAATTTCTTGCGGGACGCGGGACACGAGCCCTCAATGCGGGACAGTCCCGCGAGTCGCGGGACGGGTGGTCACCCTACCGTATGTGCCTCTGGAGCAGCGTTTTACTTTACTCTGACGAGCTGTATTTGTAACTTGCGGCACTCGCGGTCCAGAAACGAGCTTGATCCAGCGTCCAGTGGCGACGGAAGAGGAAGGGAAGGCTGTCTTTTTCTCATCGTTAGACGGTTTACAGAATGAGCAATGCTATATGCACTACGTAGTGCACTTTGGACGGAAATTGCTATATGCACTACGCTGAGAGCTCATGCCGCTCGGGCCACCCTTTTTTGAACTGCGCGTGTATCACTGGGGAGCTCGTTAACCCAGCCCCCCGCTGCTAATTAGAAAAGTTAACCGTCCAGCCGGCAACCCAAGCCCCGCTGTCCCCGATCTACGATCGGATCGGGGACAGCGGGGCTTGGGTTGCCTGAAGTCTGCGAAGTTTCGTCGACAACACTCGGTGTTTTTTTTTTTTTTTTTTTTTTTAGGTAGGATCACCGCGATTCGAACCTGCGTTCACTTGCGTACGAAGCGGACACGCTATCCCCTATGCTATGCCACCGGTTGGAGAACTCGTTGTGATCATTCATTTTATACGAGACAAACGTAGTGCATATAGCAATTTCCGGCCGAGCTGCACTCCGGAGTGCATATAGCATTACTCTTACAGAATACCGGGCACAACAGCTCCTCATCACTGATTAGCGCTGGCTCATTATCAACCTACTTAATTTCACTTGACGTTTGAACGCGGCTCGCCTAGTTGTGATCGGTCAACAGACTGCACACGGCCATATGGGCCGCGCTTCAAATATTTTCCTTCTCGCCGTCTTGTACTGTGCTGTGGAGCAAGGAGGGTCGAAAACCCTCCTTGTTTCTCAGCGTTGCTCTCTTTGTGCTGCCATGTGATCCATTAGAGTAGATTTGGAACTTAGCCATGATTAATATTTCATAGAAGCAACCGTACAGAATCCCCCCCCCCCCCCCCCCCCAACCCCTTTATTGATAGCAACTCGACGGAGCCAGGCACGTAGCCAGGATTTTGCTGCGGGGGGGGGGGGGGGCGGGAAGGGGGGGGCCGCCTATTGCAAAATGCTGCATGAGGGGTAAGGGAGAGGAGGCCCCAGCAAAATGGACGATTTCGGGGGGGGGGGGGGGGAGGGGGGGGGGGCGGGCCCCATGGGCCACCCCCTGGCTACGTACCTGGCCGGAGCAGCTGGACGATCCATAACTCTGTGGCCGACATATGGTGAAAATATATCTACGCGCTACACAACTTCAAAATATGGCCGCGGCGCCGATTCTTGAATCTTGATCGGTATCCAAGCTTGCGAAGGCACAGAGACGCAGCACTTCGGCGTGCCAAGGCGAAACTTGCTTTCGACGAGTTGTGGCTTTTCCCTGCGGTACTGCGCTTTCGTTAAAATTTCCTTGTGTTCTGAACGGCAAGTCTCACTGCATATACAAAAATTAAAAAAAAAAGAAGAAGAAAACTTTTTCGTTGAATGACGACGAACGAGTAGAAAACGGACCCGGCCCGATGGGATTCCTGCCTAATCGAACCCGGCCCAGGCCCGGCGAGAAGCCAAAGCATGCCTCATTTCTTAAATTCAAAGCTGCCATGAAAAAGTGTTAATACATTTGATTCGTTTTCTAATTTGCATGAAGGACGCTGTCATATCACAGTTACGCGGTGAACATTCAAAAGCTTACACAAACATGAAAGACACAGCTTACCTTTGGTAGCCAGAGGACGTTTTTTTTTTTCTTCTACTTGTTCAAGAGTTCAAAAAGGAAAGGGAAAGACAATCGTACTGACCGTTGACTGACCCCGTGACCGGATTGCCCTCGTTTTTTTTGCCTGCTGGCAGCTGTCCCACTATGCTGATGGAATCCCTAGAATTCTCCGTATCTCCTTGTGGGCTTGTTTTGTCCAAAACATATTTCTTTATTTCTAAGATTACCTTAGTGGCGTCGTAGCGAGTTGCCCTTCGGCTTTACGCTTCTTTCGAATCTAAACGATCAATGCGTTAGCATTTTCTTCTCAACGTTGTAGAACGTGTGCTACATCCTTGCCCAAGCCCGGCCCGTGCCCGGAAACAATCCGGGCTATCCGCCACGGGCCCGACCCCATGCAGAACTCTAACAAGAATACTAAGTGCAAATTACGTCTTTTCATATCTTTCTGGAAGTAATTGAAAAGTAATCAAGTAAAGTAACGAAGTAATCAATTACTTTTCACACCCAGTAATTTGTAACGGTAGTTCGTTAGTCTTACCGTCAAGTGATTGTAATTGTAATTAATTACTCATTTCCCGTTACGGGCACAAATCTGCTTCGTATACAATGCACACAACTAATCGCATGATGTATAGCATACCCCATGTGCAGTGGAGTTTGGTTCGAAAAGTGGCGCCACCTTATGCGGGATTTTTGTAACTCTGAGACGGTCCGCGGCGGCAGTCATTGGACCCTATCTCGAGCACGACCGTCCGAGTGCCCTGCCGAACTCTGATGCAGAGCTCGCGTCCATTCGTTCGGTGCTTAGGCCCCTTCAAAGTTGCCCATTTTGGCCGCCAGCCGCGCTGACTAGCAGCCGACCCAGGCGCGTCCTATTCACTTTCCTGGGGCCATTCTCCGACAAATACGTCATTATTTCGGTCCGTGCGTGCTTGTGCATGGGCCATGAACGCGGACAGGAAACGCTCCACGAACATAAAAGAGCGTATTCTTTTTTACTGAAAGCGACTTTATTTTCGCGGGCACAAAATTTCACGATAGAAATGTAGTCGTTACCATAGGGAAACATATTCGCGGCTTCTATTTTTCGCGTTATTATAAAAGTTGCTAAATTCGCGATAATTAGATCCTCCCGAAAATTTTATATTTTACGGTAACTCGCAGTTTTGGACAGCTTTGCTAAATACGAGACAATAGCCCCCGACCACGTCAAGTTGCCTCTGGCAACTTTTTGTCTAGGCGCTCCGTTATACTTCAAGGCCACAGAAATAAAACGATTGATTGAAATTATTTTGCGTGAATTTATGCAATAGTTAGATGCATATGCAATGTTTCTGTCTAAAAAATATACCCTTTCTAAACATAATATCGTAGATCGTATACTCAGACACACTTCAAAATCAGAATTACGATTATGATCATTAACATGAAGTGTTCCGGGTTCAATTTCCAATCCTCACATCGTCTTCAATTCACTGAGGAAAAAAAAAAAAAAACCAAAACGAATATACATCAAATTCTAACCTCCCAAACAATATTTGCTGTTCACCCCTAAGTTGACAGTCTGGTGGCAGATACGCACTCGCCGGGTCAATCAACTGTCTACCCCTCATCACCTCACCCAGGGCCGTACCCAGAAAAAAATTTCGGGGGGGGGGGGGGGGGGGGTTTCGGGGACCACGGCGGCCATTTTGAAAGTGTCTATTGTCTTATTTTCGCCTATGAATCATGTGCATCGGTGGCATATAATGGAGGGTTACAGCAAACCGGAGAACCGGTCCCGGATTGGTACCCGGTAG